CAGAACATACTATCTAAAACCAGCTGTCATCATTGTGAAGTGCAGTGGTTGGGTCCATGGTTGCAGCAGGGACTGGTTGCAGCCTGCTTTTGTCATTTCTGAGCCTAGTTTTGATATTGAACCAGAAATTGTGAAGGCTGTTGTGGTGAAGGTGCGAATTTGATTCAGAACAGTTGTGTTTTATTTGTTGACAGAAATGTCATCAGGCAAAGTGCGTGTGACCTTTGAAAGGGTCCTAGTGTATGCTGAAACAGACCCCCATGTTTATAATTTCTTATTTAAAAAATTACTTTTTCAATTTTGTGTAAATTTTGAAGTTATATTGTAAATTAATGGGTATGCAGTTTGTGCTGTCCCATATACAGCAGGGTACTTGTCAGTGGAAAAAAAACTTTTTGTTTAAGAAAGCTTTCATTTTGGGGGCATTTACAGGAAGAGTAATTTTCCAGTGCCCTCTCTCTCTCCCGCCCCCCTCCCTCTCTCTCCCGCCCCCCTCTCTCTCTCTCTCTCTCTCTCTCTTAGCTTTTGCATGGGCTAAATGCTCCCTACTCATACACACTTAAAGCCCCATTGCATTACTTATAGCTATTTGCGCCCTCTATACAGCCAACAATGACTAAGCAGTACCCGTTGATCCACCATGATTCCCTTTTTCTTATGTTAATTGAGAGCTGATTTGATGAGATAACCACCTGTCAGTGAACTTGCAGAGAGGGCTAATCCCTCCTGGCCAAACTAGTGCAGAGGGGCTTTAAAGCAAATTTCTTGAATAATCTGCTTTCACATATAACCCAATGTCAAGAGTTGTTTCAGAAACATGAAATTCTAGAACCTCCGTCATAATTTTCTGTGTCAGCCATATTTCAAAAATCTAGAGTTTGTGATCCGAATCATGTCCCATTTTCAGAGTTGACTCAGGGCTTAGCCTTGATTTTGATAAGAAATCTCTGGGTTTCTTTCTTTCCCCTTGTGAATCGAAAATGGATTTACAAAATTTGTCCAAGGTCTTATGCTCCAGTTAGGGTTGTAATTCATGTACAAACATACCTGGAAGGAGAACATTTATTCTTTTGTAGTGTAGTTGAACTTAGTTATAGCCATGAGGGAGAGGGTGAGGTAGGGAGGGTGAGGTAGGGAGGGTGAGGGAGAGTGTGGAAGGGGGTGGATAGAGAAGATGGAAAGACAGACAGAGTGAGAGAGAGAGTGGAGAGAGAGAGAGAGAGAGAGGGAGGGAGAGGGAGAGAGAGGGAGGGAGAGAGAGAGAGAGAGAGAGAGAGGGGGGGGGGGTAGGGTAAAATGTATGTAACAAATACAGAAAGTGGTATACATGTAGTTATGTAGATTGAATTTGAGAGAAATTGAAAGCATTCCATAAATAAAGGAATGAGATACATGCAACGAAAGAATTAATTGCATGCTGATAATTTCATTTACATTTTAAATTTATTTCCAATTTATTTCCAATTCATTTCCAATCGATTCATCTCTGGCATAGAATTCAACAGGTGAAAAAAATATATGAAAAAGAAATGTAGGAGAGGGAGAAAATTGCCTTTTAAGAGAACAATAGATTGGGGTGGGGGAAGAAAACTAGTTACTGGAATTAAAGGTTGGAACAAAAAAGAGAGGCAGAAATGAAATATATTTATATGTAATTGTATAGGCTGGATATATAAAAAAGAAAGAATGTAAATCATTTTTGAACCAGTACCAGTACTATGTTGTTTTCTCAGCTTGCATTTTAGAACGTTGTGATTATGAAATTGTCTGGTGAAAGCCAGAAGGGTGGTAGCCCTTAAACTTTAACATCCTTTTGACTTTCAACTGATGAAATGCTGATTGTTGGAGATCTTTTGCCCTTGTAATTGACCTCTCTAAACCACCTGCATTCCTACCTTGCTACCATGGCAATGAATCCTGCTGGGTGACAATGTACTTCCAAAATTGAACCAAATCAGCCGAAAAATAAAAATATCTCTCAGAATTTGGATTCCATTTGTATCATTGCACTTTTTGCATTCCTCCCCATCACTTCCTCCTACACAGAATATTTTCAATTCCTTTTTTCCCCCAACAAATATATTCTCTTTCTTGTTTTCTATCTTGCTTTCTTTCCTTTGATTGATTCCATCTGTGTTCCTTTTTCATCTGATCTTATATAAGGAATATTTTTGTTTCTTTTTCTCTTATTATCTCCTGTATAATCTCCTCTTGCTCTCTCTCTCTCTCTCTCTCTCTCTCTCTCTCTCTCTCTCTCGTCCCATTCCGGCTTTCCCTCCATCTTGCGTTATTTTTCTCTCTCATTCTCTCTCTCTCTCTTTCTCTCTCTTCCCATTCCGGCTTTCCCTCCATCTTGCTATATTTTTCTCTTTCCTTCTTTGTTATATATATTTTTATTTCCATCCTCTCTCTCTACATAAGCCCCTACTCTATGTCTTTCCTCCAACAGAAACCTCTGAAGTACATTTAGACAAAATGAATATAACACACGACCCCTCCGCATTTTCACAAATCTGGATGGGATATGTAAGAACCCATTTTCTTGGCCTTGAAATATTTGTTGCATTTCTAAACACAATTGTAAGTCTAATGAAATGCCCTTTCATTTATTTTGTACAAAGGAAATTATTCCTTATCCTTCTAGATTGGCATTTCATATTCCATCTATCCTGTGGAATAATACCTGAATAAATTTAGCCCTTCTTCACCCAATGTCTTTCTCTGGAATTAATAAAGCTGCAAAAAATGGCTTCCAATTGACAATTTTGTTATATGCAATTCACAAGGTATGCAGAGAATATATCCTTGGATGTTACTTACCAGATGAATCCTATCTGAATGCAAATATCAATCTGAAAACAATTATTGTACATTGATCATACAAAAGCTACGTATATCTAGTTAGGTTCAGTATACATGGTTTCCAATGGCAACCATTAACTGTCAGGGCCTGGATTATATGTTACGTATCTACTGTACATGGTTTGTACTATATTCTGTTCATATAGGTATCTGGGGAGGATTACATAGGGAAAGGGGTAAAAGAAAGTTATAGGAAGAGAGAGAGATAGAGAGATAGGCAGGGAGACAGAGAGAGAGAGAGAGAGAGAGAGAGAGAGAGGGGGGGGGGGATGGGAGGGAGAGAGAGTTTAGAATGTTTTAAAGCTTATCTGCCATAGTTTACAGGAGGGATTAGACCGCCCTGCAAGGTCACTGGACAGGTGGTTACCTCATCAACTCAGCTCTCAGTTAACATAAGAAAAAGAGGATCATGGGGGATCAATGGTCACCGATTAGGCATTGTTTGTTATATAGAGGGCGCAAGTAGCTACAAGTAGTGCAGTGGGCCTTTAAAATTCAAGGGGTATGTGGAGGATATGGAGAGTGAATAGAAGGGAAATATCTGAAAAGCCATAGAGAGAGGAGGAGGAGATTATAAACGAGAGGGAGAAAGAAAGAAAGAAAGAAAGGCAGGCAAACATTTGCATATATATATATACATATATATAGAGAGAGAGAGAGAGAGAAAGAGATTGGAGTACAAGCATAATTGGGAAAAGAGGAACAAATTAAAGGAATCATAATTGGTATTCATCAATTTATTCAGCTGCCCATCAAGTTTATATCTCTTCTCCTGCCAGAAGTATTACAAAAATATTATATTCAAATCCTCTAGGTGCCCTGTCATATAGGCAAGATGGATGCACATGCTACTCCTTGGTGTATAATCAAACTCATTTCAAAATGAATACCTGTGACGGAAAGCCCTCTTTCTGTGCACAAGATCAATTGACAGTGCCTGGCTTCAAGCATGGAGTAGTAGGTCCATGCTTCAAGTGTGTGCATTTAAAATCTTGACAAAATACAGTCACTCCAAATCAGCGCTAATTTAATATTTACCCTAGCAATTATGTGGTTCATTTCCAATGAACAGTGTCTGATTGACACCTCTAATGATTCAGTCAATTTGCACAAAACACACTGGTCTACTCAATTACCATGTGTAATAAGACATCAAATATTGAACAGTCATAAGAACATGTATACCTTCATCCTCTATATGTGATTAAGTACATGTAAATTTTTCACTACAATGTCAGTGCTGCCAACTAGGATTTCCAGTAATTGTTACGAAAATTAACGATCATTAGTTCATTATGCCAGTCAGAAATTACTGATTTGTTCCCAAAATTACTGATTTTGAGCCTTGTGATTACTGATTTTCTGTACTGGAGGTTGGCAGCTCTGCAATGTTTTCTCTTATTCCAAGATGTATATCAGTGATGTAGTTAAAATGTTTGCCTTTGTTAAAGGGAGTTATCTGAATGATGATTCTGAATGATGAGAATATATCTTTTAGACTGGATCTTTTATTTTTCAGTGATAGGTATTGAATGATGATCAAAACAGAAAACCAAATTGAAGAGAACATTTTCACCTAATAGTACAAAGGGGGAAAAGAGAGAGGAGGGGCAGATTGATTTAAGAATACATAGTATTGTCTGTTGATAAAGTATATCCAATGAAGAAGTCCAAAGAAAACAGGATTTCTTTTTTTTACTATTTGGTAAAGAATCATGCACAAATAACAAAAGATAATTGTGTAAAGGATGTATTGTTCATTGCTATTGTCAATAGAAAACTTTATAATCATTGTGGTACTTTGATATATAGACCTATATAGCTTCATACTCCTGAATATACACCAAGAGCGTATGGATATGCATCCTGTTCTCATGCTTTAATACCGGTATTCCATTATTATGTAAGAGATTTTAGCTGGACACTTTTTTAATGCATATTGAATGGCCTCTTAAAAGGATTTTATTTGTTGAATGTGATGAGAACATTATATTTGGCTACCAATCTATGAAGATCATAATAATTGGTAATTATGCAACCATTATCGTAGGAAAATTATTGCCCTTGATCTTTTTCATATTATTGTAATTCTGTAGCTTACCAATATCTTAATCATTTTTTGTTTTGCTATACTCCAGAACACCAGCTTGGAACTATGGTCCTAACGAGGATAAACACTGGATTATACGCCAGGCAAGCAGGATGACAAAGCTTGAGAGAGATTTTACTGATGCACTGCAGAGGAAACGACTGATCACACTGCTTTCTGTTGATGATGCCATAGAAAAGGTGAGTAGGAATATGAAATTACAAATAAAATGTATATATAAAATTAATAAAAAATGATATAAATTATTTTTCATTTATTATACTGTCATACCTTTGGAGAAATTAATGGAACATTGCATGCAAACATTTTGAATGACTGTTTGAATGAACTTAATGGACAACCGACCTGTCCTGACACACAAGGGTGCAATAAAATTTGACAAGCCCAACCTCTTTTGATACACAATTCAATAAAAGAAAAACAGGTTTTTATTATCCTTTAGAATTCAGGCAAGTTAGTTCTCCTTTTTGAAACTCCCATTATTATCAAGCTTGTTTATGTCTGCCAAAGATGACACTTGACTTTTACAATAAGCATAAAGCTATTATGCTACAACCAGTGATACAAATGATATCTTGACCACTGCGCAATAAATACAGTTGACATATTTCTAATTGTTACCAACCGTACTAGAGTGAATACTGAGTCCGCAATCACGTCGAAATGCCAGAATAAATCCAATTAGATTTCTATTATTCCCACCTAATGTGATTTCCTGTCTGAATCGAGGCTAAATTGATGGCGAGAATTTTTGCATGAAAAATTGCAATAAATGGGAAGCCATGTGATTGACAGTATTGGGGTCATTGCCTGCCACTCGCATAGGGAGGGATTATAAAATGGCTGGTTTGTTGGGAGAAAGATGATGAATGGCCCAGATTTATACCCATCCCAATGGGGGCTATTCAGAGAATTTGGTTTGGAAATGAGAGCTTTGGCAGGAAGGAAAGTAGAGTAAGCAACATGTTGCAAAATTGTGGTGAGCAGCGTCTAATCGTTTGTTTTGTTTGTCAAAAAAGAATTGTTTATTCCATGAAAACCATAATGATATTCTGTGAATTTGTTTGAATTGATAACATTGACCACTTTCAATGAAGTTAAAATGAAGTGATTATGAGCCCAAACTCTTTTGAAAGCAGAGAAGCAGATTAATAACATATAATAGTGGTTGGTACATGTACACATGTGCTACCAAATTCATAAACAGTATTTTATTAAATCATTCCAATAAAAGAAAGTAAGGTAGGGGAACAAAAATATTACAGCCTAATCATTAATCTATATATTTTAATGGAGAGACCTGAATTTTTTCGAGATTTGATTATTAGCATACAAATCATATTTAAAGTAAACAAGATTTGTTTGAATGAAAATACATAATTAATTGATTTTTTTTGTGCATAAATGGCATCCATGATATATTATTACATATTGCTAATCAAGTCATTTTATGCATACAGTTACTAAAGAAAAAGAAAATTACATAAAAAGATACTTTTACAAACTTGACAATAGATTATAACCCCCCCCCCCCCCATCAACTCCGTATGGACAGTGATTTATGCTATCATAAATTTTGACATTTATGTTTTTAAGCAGTAGCCAGGGATGGGTAGTTTATTTTTCTAGTATGGCAATTTGTAGGGGTCTTGTTTGCCATGAACTTTACACAGGTCATATATCAGCAATGAGTGTTCCCAGTACAAAATAGGGTATATGAATTAAAAGTTACAAATGAGGTTTATTTAAAGGTCAATTGTCAATGACATTGATCAAATTCTCCTCTGTAGTTTTTTATTCTTCTTTGTGGCTTACTTCATTTTCCTCACTCCTTGATTCTTCTATTCTTGTTTTACTTCCGATTAATTTCCTTTATCATATATTTAATTTTCTTTATTCTTCTACTTCTTCATTCTTCTATTTTCTTCTCCATTTTGTATTAAATATATTTTACACTTTTTGAAGTCTATTGCTTCTCATTCTTCTTTGCTTTCATTTACTTGTCTAACAGTTGCTTCCTTGACAATTCAGTCTCTGCACTTTTCATGGCTTTAAAGTAAAATCTTTGGCCCCCCTTTAATTCTCTTCCTGTCTTCTTTATTTTCTATTTTTATCTTATTTGATCTCTTACACTGTATTGCCAACTTGGCTATGCAATTTTCTCTCTGAATCATTCATTGGGATAAGGGATAATGGTTGTCCAAAGAATTTTAATGTCCTTGATTAATACACAATTTTGCTTTTTATATTGGAGAAGTGAAAAAAAACACACCCGATTTACCAACCAACCAACAAACAAGCAAATGAACAAACAAACAAAAACAGGAATTACTCCCTGTAAAATCATAGATGTATTAACTAGTAAATTATATAGGCCTTTAAGGCCTTTAAATTATTGATGAAAGGAGGAAATCAGATGTCCATGTATGAGACCTCCCATACTAATTTATAATGGTCAAGCTGAATGGCCATTCCTTTTTCATGAATTTGTTTAACGGCCTTCGGGGAGACATAACTATGTAGAAAAGGCCACCTTATGTGAAATTGAGTTAAAATTTATTGAGGTCAATTTCAATATTGGACAGCAATTCAGTCAGTGATTTAAAGGCCTCCACTTCATCTCTCCTGTACATGTACCTGAAAATGTTCATTGTGTGTTCTTTCCAACTGTACATTGATACGTGGTGGAGGGAGAGAGGGAGAGAGAGAGAGAGAGAGAGAGAGAAAGAGAGAAAGAGAGAAAAAGAGAAAGAGGGGGGGGGGGACATTTACCAACTTACAGATTGTTATTTTAAAGAAAAAGTATGGAATATTTTGTGCACTTCCATTTTTTTTCAGCTCATACCAATGCATATTCAAAGTATACATAGCGCTCCCACTTTTTGAAATTCTGGATCAGGCAGTAAGATAATTGCACCTCATCATTTTTCTCTTTTCCACCTCTGCTTTCATCTCTACTCTTAATCCCCCTTCTGTTTATGAACATCTCTCTTTTGCTTTTCCAATACTTTCCAGTGCCAAAGTTTAAAAATTATATCCCAGTCATTCTCCTTTCTCCTTCCATCTCTCCCCCTCTCCCTTTCTATTCTTCCATTCTGATCTGCCATGGCTTTATGAAGTAACAAAAAGAAGGGGAATAATGAAATATCAAATTGAATAAAACTCTATTTTCCATAACTTTATTTTTTGTAATATGACACTTCCTCTGATGTACTTGTAGATACAGCTGTGTTGACGAGGAAATAATTCTGGAATGGACAAATAAGAAAGGGGGGGGGGGGTGTGGGGGATGGGAATTCAGCCTTTTCCTATAGGTACAGATATTTTCTTGCAAATGTAAGTGATATTTATTACTTTTGCTGGAATTCGCCCTTCATAGTGTGATATTGTTACAGTTGTGAGAGTGATAGAGAAGAAGGGGTACTAAAAGGTTTCATAGCACTAGTCACTAGTTTCCATGACCCATATAAATTCTCCCTTGTTCAAATCATAGTATATTTAATATAAAGGGACTTGGTAAAATTGTTCAGATGAGAGAAAATGGTGCTAAGGTGGTGACTTCAATGCTAGATGTACAATTAAAGATAATCTGAAAGTTTGAGTGAAAACAGACCATTATTAATGATAAAAATTGGGAAAAACCGATCTGATCAATTCCTTAATTCTCCAAACTATATTATTACAATGTAATTACATTTTAGGAGAATGTATATCGTCACAAAGCAATGAATTATCTCTATGTACCATTCCAGGCATTTACGTGTTGAAAGATTTTAAAAGCCTGTCTTATATCTTAATTCCATGGAAAAACGGTTAGGAAAATTCAAAAATGGTTGGGAAAATTTACTGTTAGAAGGTATCGCACAGTGACACCTTCAAATAAAAATCATAAATATCTTTGTAGTTTCAGAATTTGTCAGGATTGTTTGCATGTTGGAGGGTTATTACAGTAGAAGGAATATAATAAGTAACATCTCATACAAAAATTACGCTGTTTTTTCATCAACCTTCAACAAAGTTACAGAGTCACTTTAAGGTGTTGTGTATTTCGCCCATCTTATATAAGGATTTCTTTCCAAGGAACTAGAATTTAATCCATTAGTTTGTTTTGTGCTATTTTCAGAATTTTATTCTGCTATTCCTTTTCTTTAAAAAAAAATTAGCCCAAAGTTTAAAACAGGGGGACAAGTGCAGGATTTTCATGTCTCATATTTCAAGCAGGGAATTGTTACAATAACCTGGTTCAACCTTTGCAGTGCAATATCTTGGAAATCATTGGTAGCTACTCCTTTTTGTTGCAATTTTGAGGGAGATGGTAAGAACTGGAAGCACAACATACTTTACAAGTAGCTTAAACTTTCTTGAGGAAAAGTTTGTGAAAGTTTCTTTGCGGTTTGGGCTCCGCTAAGACCACACAAATATTCACAGGTGTACCCCAGTTGGATTATATTTTGGTCATTTTTTCTGTTCCGAAACTTGTTAAGAAGTTAGGCAAATAAAGATTAATTTGTTCAACCTTGTGAAAAGGTATCAAAATGAAGGGGGAAAAAATAAACCAGATTGTGCGACCAGTCTCAAGGAAAGCACGGTTTTCGTGTAAACTCTGGAGAAACATTTGTAAGAAGGGTATTTCATGGTTACAGTACTCCTTTTGTCCTCTCCCAAAGGGGATAACAGTTTGCAGAGGAAGCAAATTTGTGACACACCAACAATTGCTACTTTATTCAAGCAGGACTACAGTGTTCATTTGGGAGTAAGATCTCTAAAGACGATTTGGGTAGAGTTGCAAATCTGTCAGCCAAAGAGAAAATTCTGTCATGGAAATTTATACAAAATTCCTTTTGAATGCTCGAAAGATTACACTATTCTGAAGATCAGACATGCCAAATTTTTAAACTAAAAAATAAAGAATTTCTTAATTTTGCATTTCCCAAGTGGAAAAGGAATTAAGCTTTGTAATCATTTGACAGATTTTTCTTTTGTAATGTGGATGTAAAGGTGGACAAACTTGTTTCCTCCCAGTTCCACACCTTGGCCCTGTACCAAGAGAACATTTGTTAATACTAGCAGGTTTTTTTTAAGCATCTGTGTGAAATTACTTTAAAGATACTATGTCCCTTTTGCAGCCAACATCAAGTTCTGTAGAACTTTGCAGGAATTATGAATATGTCATACATGTCCTATAGCATCTGTGTGAAATTACTTAAAAGATACTATGTCCTTTTTGCAGCCAACATCAAAATAGTACCTTTAATGAATACCATAGTCTGAAATTCTAGTTAAAGATGTTTTTATAGATCATTTAGGAAATTATTCTTCTAGAAGTTAATGCTACCAATTAGAACCTCTAGAGAGAAATGGACTACATTGCTAATATTATGTAGGGGATGTTATAATGATAAGTGAAAGAATGATTCGAACTCCAATGTCCATCCTGACTGAATGATATAGAGGTAGAGCATTTAGCATCAAAATTATGAAATAAACCCCAACAAGATAAATAACTCAATAATTATTTATGTACCAATCTAAATCAGAGTTATGTAATTTTGAAAATCACCATTTTTCCCCAATTATTCAAACACTCAGAGAAACCAAAATATACTAAATTTCTATATTTCATTATGTTTTAAATTACCAGTACAGTTATACTTATTAAAGTTATTCTCATTTTATACAGTTATGCAGAGAATTGGAAGCATTAGGGGAGTTGGACAACACCTATATACTGATGACATCAGATCATGGGTATCACCTGGGTCAGTTCAACATGCTGAAAGGAAAGTCTAATGCATATGATACAGATATTAGAGTACCTTTCTATATCAGAGGTCCTGATATTCCACATGGAATCAGGTGAGTTGATTTAATTACCTCTTAATCTTAATTTTTGTTCTCTTACTTTTCCTTTTTCCTTTTTTTCTTTTTTTCTTTCTTTCTCTTTCTTGTTTTATTTGATGTCATGAATTAGGTGTTTTTTTTGTTTTTTTTTTGGGGGGGGGGGTGTCTTCTTTTGTGGTTCTGTGATTTTTATTTGTTTTTCTCTTGAATTGTTGTTATTATAAATTGTATATACCGGTAGACAAATTATTTCATCTGCCATAACAGCTTCTGTTAGAATATTTTTAGGAAAGAGAAATATATTGTAAAGGAAATTATTAAACATTCATACAAGATTTATGCAATTTCCATTTTATCAAGAAATTGCAACGCAAATTATTAATGTTATTTAAGATTCAGATGAATTGCCACATTTAGAGCTTATGCTATTAAAGGACTTTGTTTTCTACCATTTACTACACATGATCCTAAAGAGACATCTAAGCTAGGACACAGCACCAGACCATAATCCAAATTTCCCAAATTTACAGAAATCAATATTCTACAGCTTGAAATATGACTACAGCTTGAGATATATATGTAAATACACATTGAAAGTGTATTACTGTATTTTCAATTGTTCAATTGTTGTATTCTACAATGTGTCATAATTTATCATGATCTAACTTTGGTCATTTACTTTCCTTCCCCCTTCTGAAAAAATATAGAGTTCCAAATATAGTGTTGAACATAGACCTGGCACCTACCATGTTGGATATGGCAGGGGTGAATATTCCACCGCACATGGATGGAACATCAATCATGAAATTATTCCAACCAACATCAAAGTGAGTATTGCTGATATTTGATGAGTAAATATTAGTAGAAAGTTACATCATATGAAGGTATTTTTGATTTTGAGGACAATAAGGAATTTATAGGAGACTTACCGGTATTGTTATTTCTCTCTAGATTATAGACAACTATTATGGCTACATAAGAACGCATTAGTAAGTTGTGTAGTTCATTTGTATGATAATATAGACCAGGGGGGTGTTTCATAAAGAGTTTGTAAAGTTACGCATGATTTTACGAACGACTTGTATATGAAGTGCCAGATAGGATGCCCAAAGTTTTTTCTGATATTTCCAATAACCTCAATTAAATTATGGCAAAAAATATACTTTGCATTAAAAATGGTTGTTATAATAAGAAATAAGAATGTTAATCTACATCTGCACAGTTCAACTTAATAAATAATAATCAATATTGATTGAGCATCCCATTTGGCTTTTCATAAGCAAGTCGTTCGTAAAGTCATGTGTAACTTTACGAACAGTTTTATGAAACACCCCCCCCCCCCTGGTTTGATATAAATGTATCCTTGAACCATTAAAACATGAATAATATATGATCGTATGATGAAACAATTGTAGCCTATAGACAATTTAGTAACATCGATGAAACCTGCATATATCACTTTTAGATTATTATGCCTCTATACATCAGGGGGGTGTTTCACAAAACTTGTCATCAGTTTGGACAAATGACAGTTGTTGTTATAAGCTACTGAAGTCCTTGCTTCTGATTGGTTATCAGCAGATTTGTCACTGATATTTGTCAATTATCATTGAAAAAGGGCTTTGTGAAAAGGGTCCCTGATGTTTAATCAATCATTCAATATACCTTGCATTTCTTTCATATTCAAAGCTACAAGATAGCCAGGAAAAGCAAGAAATGGAAATATGTTGGGAGTGAGCCGTGGAGAGAGTCCTTCCTAGTGGAGAAAACGTAAGTATACTTTGTCTGCTGGGAGATAGAAGGGGGTTACCCAGGTATTGGGTGAAACATAGAGCTGTATGATTCAACCAAATAAGTTGTGTCCTGGTCGACTGTGTTATTGTATTGCACTAACTTTTCATGCAATAAAATTGCAGGGTACAACAAAATCGATGAATCCATCAAATATATATCTTTACAGATTTGTTGGTTCAAAATAACGACGACAAAATGAACTTATTTCATTATCATGAATATATATTTTGAATTAAATACACTACAAAATCTGTTACAGTGTATATATTATGTGCAATAAAAGTTATAAAACATACCGCAAAGAGACATCATGATACAACTTCTTTCTTTATATTATTCATTTTTCAACAGGAGATCGCCAGAAGAAATGGGACGTTATATGGAACGTGTGAACAGACCCACCAAAACAGACTTGATGAAACAGGAGTGTGAACACCCTGATCTCCAACCACCATGCAAATGGGGACAGGTTAGACATTATTTATTATACCATCATCCTAGACCAATTCCCAAATAAAAGCATAGTAGTAGCTGTATTAATTGTTTATGTATCTATCCCATGTAATGCTCGAGGCACCTACATATGTGTATTAGCATTGCTAGTCTAGCTGCCATAATGCACTGGAAGCATTCAAGGACGAACATCCTACCAGGTAGCCATTTACTACACCTGGGTTGAGAGTGGCATAAATGAATGTCTCACCAATGGACATTGGCAAAAACATATGTAAAAGAGAGAATGAATGTATGTATATGGATTGATAGGTGGATAGTTGTGGGGATGGGGAGGAAATCAAAGGAGGGAGATCGACTTAAGCAAACATCCATATGTGACAACTTGTACATGTGGTCCTCTTGACTCTTTCCCCGGAACCCTTACATTTACTTTAAATAATAATAATAATAAAAACATTACTTATAAAGCGCTTACCACCGAAGTCTCTAAGAGCTATATAACAAACAAAATAGACTGATAAACAATTACATATTAAACTAAACAAAAAGTGCAAATAACCCTACAAATTACAATACATATGAAATACACATCAATGCAAACAGAGTTAATCATCAAAAGCAATTTTGAATAAATGTGTCTCATCACTCATTTTAATCATTACTCATTTTACTCATTTTCCTCGCGAGATGAGAAGTACATGAGAGAATAAGCCCCCTTCAAAATCCTCCCTTTCATGTGATAATATGATTTTCATCCTCTTATCTCACAGTCCAAGGTGTGTGTTGAGGATGCAGACGGATCTCTTCACCTGAGGAAGTGCCGCGCCAAGAGTAAGAAGAAGTGTGTCTGTACACCGCCCCCAGTGGTAACAGGAGATGTGAAGGACATGTCAAGGACAGAGAGGAGGCAGCAGAGGAAGATCCTCAAGCTGCGTAGCGACTCAAACCAGGGTAAGTGCAGCTAGGACAATGCTGTACCAGGGGGGTGTTTCACCAAGATCCTAAGTTGAACTTATCTCTAAGGTGGAGTTAAGAATTATGGAAATCTTTAGCATCTTTAAAAATATTTTGTAAAAGTTATTTTAAAAGGCATAAAATGTTCATTCAAATTTCATATTTTTTAAGATCAAGGAGAATTCATGTTCTTGATGTGGAATTTATGAAAAGCCTAAAATACTTGAAAATTTTGCTCATGAATATATTTTATTTTAAGCCTACAAATGGCTCTCCATCATGTTTAAGTCCAACCTAGAGTTAACTTTGACTTAGGATCTTTGTGAAACACCCCCTGGAGGCAGAGACCTGGGGAAACTTAATGACGTTCATTTATGGCTTGTCCCTCGTGACACAGTAAACCTTGGTCCCATCTGATAAAGAGTTGAGATTGATCCTAATCAATCGCAAGTCTTCTATCAATCACAGTTGGCCGTCCACTATCTCTATCTCTCATGTACGTAGTTGCGATTGATATTAATTGCAAAAAAGTTTTGATTAATCATAACTTTTTGTAAGAATTAAGGGGCCATTATCATGACAGAAAATGCAAAATAAGTATAGTGCCCCGAACATTTCTTTATCTCACAGCTTGCAGATGAGCTGGATTTGAGTAATTTGTTATTTGCAGATACATTTTTCTCGCCCCCTCTTGATCTTGCCACTCACTTGCACTTTAAATCGTGTTTGATTTTCACTGCGATGGTTTACCACAAAAGTGTTGACAGGATGCTGTCTCTTGGTCAAGGCCAAAACGTCACAAACCTGCAAAGAAGACTCGTCTTGCTACAGATCCATGATATATGAAATGCCATTACAGGGAATACAATTTACCAGATACTTACCGGTATATATTACTATCCTGGGGCTTGAAGAAACAAAAAACCTCTCCTTATGTGACCCAATGTATTGTTAGAGGTTGTTAAAGCTTAAATGCCAATGTTAATATCATGATTTTTAAAGGGCATAGAGGTATATTCATATTTAAAATATGCATCACAAAGATGGGATAATCATTATTGATTGTTTCAAGTGGGACATTAGGGTCCAGTTTTCAATATAAATCAATGAGAATCCAATATTTTTCAATAACCACCTGCATATAGATTGTAGTATTCAACATGTTTAATACCTTGTACAGGGAATTTTAGAACAGTTTCATTATTGAAAGAGGTATCCTAACAAAAAAATAAACCCTAAATGGAAATGAATAAATTCTTGATTGATGTACAGGTGGCTTCAAATCTAGGAGTTCTCTACGAGGGAAGAGAGAGATCGTAGGTGAACCTGAAGAAGATGAGATCAACAATGAGGTGATTGATAACGCTGGACTTGAGACGATGTGCGAGATCTTACAAAATGAGACCATCATCTGTGACAACGAGGTAAGGGGGTCCTTTTCCTCCACTATCTGTACAATATTAAGTCTTCTCCTGTTCCTCCTCTTTATCATATTCTCTATCATTCCTTCATTTTCTTTGTCACTCCAATGGCTTTATTCTTTTCTCCACCCTTTTAGGTCCTATGACTCCTGCTCTTGCAACAATTGCTTCATAATCAATATATCCTACACTACCCAAATTCTTACGTTCACCCCTGGACCTGAAACCTTAATTACCTGAAACCCCATTGTAACAGTAACCTTAACCTTAACCCTAACCCTATATCTTTGAAGAAATGAGCCTGGAGCAATTGTTGCGAGAGCATGTCTCCATGCATAATTGTTCACTGAGTTTTTTCACTGTTTTTTTCCTTTCCCAATGCTCTGCTTTTTCGTCTTGTAATGTTCCTATCCTTCCTTTTAATTCCTATCTTTCCTTTTCATTAGTCTTTCTTTTGTTTCTTCATGCAGGTATTTTCTTCTAGGCAGGCATGGAGGGAGCACAGGAAATCTGTGGAGAACCAACTCAGATACTTGAGGCGCTACATGGACAAACTCAAGGACATCAAAACATTTCTCAAGAACTACCGACCAGATAAGGAACTCCTTGACACATTCCCTGGTGATAAAACGGCCTTCAGCATTGAGCTTTCCGAAGAACTAGAGTTCCCTTCCGATGATGATGATGAAGATATGCCAAGAGGTCAAATTCAAAGTACAGCACCGCCTGCTCGGGATAGAACTGTTTCATCAAGTGTCTTGAGAACCTTTGAAAACATTGGACAAAATGCGGGCTCAAACATTCAACCAGGAGAAGAGGAAGGGGATGAGGAGCAACGAGAGGTGGGCCCTGACAATAACTTAGACAGGACTAGAGGGGGAACCCCCAATAGAGGGCGCAATAATGGGAATAAGGAGCCGGATAGGGATCATGGAGAGGGGATCCTTGGGGAGGAGTGCACATGCAAGAATGTAGAGGTGTTGGAGGCAGAAGACGAGGACTTGGAGATTGAGATTCCGATGATCGAGATGGAGGAATTGAGTGATCCTGAGGATGAGGACGAAGATGATGACAGTGCCAAGGATAATGAGGAGGATGTGGAAGAGTACATTGAGAGTCCATTGCTTCAGATGCAGAGGTGAAATTCAACAGTGTTATTGTCATGATACTCTATTTGTGCATATATGTTTGGAGTTGTGATTGTAAGCATTGGCCAAATATATGAATGTGGTGGTGGTTATTTTACCCGACTGCTAAGGAAGCATAAATGCTTGTACAAGTAAGCAACCAGACGGCCGTCGTCTTTAGGTCCTCTACGAGGGACCTGGTAATGAGGATTAATGCCTTACCAAAGGGCACTAGCGTATCGACTTGGTTTCGAACCCAGGTCACCGGATCACGAGACCACTGCTCTACCGACTGAGCTATCGTGCCTCCTCAATATCCCTCGGTCACACAGGAGTACAGTTGCATTTTATTATTTTCCATCTTTATTATGTGATCAAGCATCACAGGAATAAGAAAACATTCTCCTAATATTAAGGTGGCATAATATTTGATTCATGCATTTTTAATCAAAGATGTAGGGTTAGAGTAAGGGTTTACATTAGGTTAGGAATGGTTTATGGGTCAGGGTTAAAGTTATGTTAAAGTTTGGTGAGTGTAGGAACTTGAGTGATTGTTGTTGTGCCATAGAACCCCTTCTGTGTATAAACCTACCTCTTCTAGACAGCTCCCCCACCCCCTTCTCTTCTCCCAGACAATTATCTTATGATGATTACAACTTTAACTACTCATTAGTATTGCCACTGCCCTAGAAGAGTAATTTTTTAAGATCTTTGTGGTAGTTGTCTAGTGTTTTTTTAGGGATAATTCCCAGGTAAGTCATCTGATCATAACCATAAGATAGTGGCAGCAGTGGGATAAATAATGCATGAATTTTGTGAAAGAATAAAACTTTTTTTTCTATATCATACACATTTGTGGAAGTGGATATGCAAAATAAATAATTGGCTGTTCTTGCCTTTACTCTTTTCCTTCAACTGTTCTTCTACAATATCTCTTTCACATGTTTTCTTCCTTTGAGTATCAATAATTTCTCTCTCTCTCTCTCTCCCTTTTACTGCCTCCTTCTGTTGCCTTCATGAATCATTTGGGTTTTATTTTCTACTATTTATTCCTATTTCAACCATTGTCTCTTGCTCTATTGTTTTGTCTCATTCCCCCCCCCCTCTCTCTCTCTCTCTCTCTCTCTCTCTCTCTCTCTCTCTCTCTATATATATATATCGTTGGTGGGGTGACAAAACCTCGTATCTCAAAAATCATGAATTTTCAGGAGAGCGGAAAAACATTTCCTGTCTCAACAGACTTAGTGCTGTGACACCGCCTTTGTGTGGAATTTGTGAAAAAACCGAGACAGGAGGCGTTCCATGGATTTGTCAGGTGGTGTCGTAGGCCATTAGGTACACAATTATGCAAAAAAAAATCAAAATCTCAAAAAATTAAGATACAAGGTTTTGTCACCCCACCGACGATATATCTTTCTCCTGTCTTGTTCTAAATATCTCTTTTCTCTTCTATAATTTAACTATTCTCCTTCAGTTCTTTATCTGCTATCCCACTGCTGCCACTGATAAAAAGCCTCTTCTTTCTCTGCTTCACCGTGTATCAACTAGTATGGTTCTCATCTCCCTCTAATTGTTGCCTTCATAAAGCGTTTGGGTTTTCTTTCTACTATTTATTACTATTTCTTATTGTCTCTTGAACTATTGTTTTGTCTCATCCCCCTCTCTTTCTCTCTCTCTCTCTCTTTCTCTCTGTCTCACCATGTATCAATTAGTATTGTTCTCATCATCTCTCTTCTCACATTTTTTTTTCTTTAAAAGGGATGACCAAAACCAGGTACTGTCCAAATCTGAGAGGATGAAGGCCAAAGCTAGAGCCAAGAAGCTGAAGAGAAAAGACATCATACAGGAGAAGAAACCGTGCAAGCAGACCAGGCTCAGCTGTTTCCATTTTGACCGTAATCACTGGAAGACACCCCCATTCTGGAACGGTAAGAATCAAGACATCTATTCATCATATACGATGGTATTTTATAAATAAGACTTATCGTAGCAAATTAGCATTAAAGTGCGACTGCACTACTTGTAGCTACTTGCGCCCTCTATATAGCAAACAATGCTTAAGCGATACCCGATGGTCCCCCATGATCCCCTTTTTCTTATGTTAATTGAGAGCTGATTTTATGAGATAACCACCTGTCAGTGACCGTGCATGGAGGTCTAATCCCTCCTGGCTAAACTAGTGCAGATAGGCTTTAATAGAGGAGTTTTAGTCAAGTGGATAGAGCACTGGACTTGTTGTTATACACAAGTCATGGGTTTAATCCCTGACATATGACACTATAATGTCCAGTATGTCCTTTGGCAAGGAATTTTAATTTACAATTGTCACTTGGTAAGATGATGAAAGCCTTTGTGATAGGGATTGCCACATGCCCTCACAGTGACCATACGGTAGGGAGTGGAGAAGGTGCATGTGAAGGGAAGGTAATATGTAGGTAGAAAGACAGAAAGAGGAAGAGAGAGGGGGTGGAGGCAAGAGAGATGGTGATAAAATATCATTTGATGGTGCAAATGAACTTTCTATTTTTTATAGAATATCATGGCAAACATATCCCTAGATAATGATAGAACATATTTTTCCTGAGATCAAAGTTTGTATGAAAACTGCCATGCTCCAATATTTGTTTCAATAATTTCATAGATTGTGTCTTTTCTCTATTTTTTTATCTCGCCACAGAGGGTGAGATTTGTGCATGCCTGAACACCATGAACAACTCGTACTACTGTGTCCGGACCATCAACGCTACGCACAACTTCATATACTGTGAATATGTCACAAATTTTGTAGAGTACTTTGATATGACATTAGGGGCAGATCCTTACCAGGTGAGTGAGCCATGGAACATTTTATTTCTTGAGAGTCTGTAGGTTGCTAGCTTGATGGTAAATGTATGCATTAATTCATTTACTTGTTGGTGAATGGGCTACCCTGTCAAAAGAATATAAATAAATAAATAAATTTCTGGCTTTAAAGATATGATTTTCACCGCATCTCTTCTGCTCTTATATACATTTTATCATGAAAAGGGGCCTTCTCTATCTCTCTCTCTATCTTGTGTGTGTCTTGCTTTCGTTATCTCTCTCTTCTTGATAACTCCTCTCTTACTCGCTGTGTCTTTATCTCTCTCTCTCTCTTTCTATTTGTGTCTTGAATTTCTTTGTTGTCTCTTTATCTCTCTCCTGTTAAATTTTAACTTCCTTTGCCCTTAGTTCTCTCTCTCTTTCTCTTTCTCTCTCTGTTTTGTATATGCAAATGTTTTCTTGCTATACACTATTTGAGAAGTTTCCATTATAATATGCAATTACTGATTCAAGGTACTTCAAGGACAATATAAAGGGCAAGGTATGATCAAATGCACAAAATTAGATACAAGGACAACCAAACTCAATACAAGGACAACCAAACTAAATACAAGGACAACCAATCTAAATACATGTCAATTTTTTCAGGATATAACAGGCTTAAAGTATATCTGTAAAGTGATTAGAGACATTTGTATTAAGCGCTATATAAGCGGAATATTATTATTATTATTATGAAGACAATAATATACATGTAGCCACAATACATGACAAGGATTTCAATTAACATAACATTTATTTTCTGTATACAAACTGTAAATTATCTTCCTTTCTTTTCTCCTGTCAATTCCTAGCTCGTTAACATAGCATACAGTCTAGATCCTGTATCAAAAGCAGAGCTACATAATCAGGTGGATGAACTGAGGACATGTAGGGGAAAGAAATGTTCACCATCGTCGAAGAGGAGAAAAGGATCAAGAAAAAATGGTAATTACTAAATACTCTAAAGCCAAGAACTGTACTACCTGCAAGAGTTTCAGGCAGGGAAATGGGCTGAGTTTTTGCAATTTGTTAAAATTGTTGCAAAAATGGCCTGTTTATAAATTGCAAAAATTTGGTTTTATGGTATGTGGAATGTTTATCAACATGTAAATTTTGTTTGTTTGGTAATATAAAGTCCTTCAAAAAGAATATTTTTTGAAATAGTGAGTTTTTAGAAAGAGAGAAGGGAGGGGGGGGGGAGATTAGAAGTGCAGGTAAAATAGAGCTAGGGTAAGATTATCAACTTGCCCACAATGTGAAAACAGTATGATCTAACAATTGTCTAATGAATTCATTAAAAATGTTATTATTAAATTATCTTCCTTCTTCAGGTGTATCGCAGCCAACATCATTCTGGCAGACGCTACCACAGACGAGCAGGTATCTACCGTAACGCTCGCAGACTCGCAAAGAAAACTGCTGCTCAAGCTGTTGATGCCTAACCTAACCAAAATGGTGCTTACTTTGCTTTTTCTGTGCATGCTTTAGTCGTAGCAAATGCTAGCTGCAACAGCAGCAGTGATAAGCCTTGTTCTTTCTTGACAGTAACTAATAAGCCGTATTAAATATTTAAAGATGACAAAACAAACTTCAAAAGAAAAAAATCCAAGTGCTGCTGCAAACTAAAATCAATGTACATGTAAATTAATTGCAGATGGGGATGAAAAAACAAGTAGTAGAGTGCCAAGGCTGCTATATGCACTGACTGCATGGTCTGTTTGAAGACCTATTTTCTTGTAAGAGACAGACATGGATCCACGCTCATGTTATGTTTCTCTTTTTTCATTTTTCACTGCAAGATTCTTTAGGTGGTTTTTCATGTCATATGGGAAAGAGGCTTTTGTTTTTATTGATTCCAAGTGATAGCTTTGTAGCAGGTTGTACAGCACTTGTATCCACAAGTACTCCGCGGTTAATATCCTACACTAACCAAATCCCTAAGTTCTATTCTGAACCAAACACTAAGCCTGACCCTAACCCTACTCCTAACCTGAACCCAACTCACTGCAACCTTAACCCTAAACCTTGTTATATATCTTTGAAAAATAAAGCCCAGAGCCAATGTTGCAGGAGAACATTTTGGATTACCCATTAATGTGATAGCTGTGTAGAAAACTCTTCTTAGTTCAAAGACTGCTAACTGGTACTCAGGGAGAAAAGAAGGTAGCAGCACTCTCTCAAAATAAACAGGTGCTTTAACTCCTTATATGCCACACAAATAATCTCCATGTATCACAGTCATTGTATTGATCTTGGGATAGACATACCAAAGGCTTCAAGTATACTTGACTTTTTTCCAGGACAAAATTAATCTATACTAACTTCTTCCATAGGAAGTGTTGCAATCATTTTTTTTTAAAGCCAATTCAATTTCTAGGGTTTCTCATGTGTTTAGTTTCCAACATTTTTTGTTGGACTTAAAAGTACTTTTTTTGGTGCCATTGTTTGTGCAATATGTCAAGTGTGGCAAACGAACAACAGTGCAGAGAGGCAAAGAAAGCAACTGAAGTGTTGATAGGGCAAATGAGATTTTCCCCCAAGCAAAAGAAAAAGACCTCGTAGCCTCCCATATACATGTAGCAATTGAATTTTCTTTTATAGGGCATGATAGGGGGTTCAAAAATTCAGAAAGAGCTCATTAAAGAAGAAACTTTCAGGTTCCAGAGAGTAATATCGATCAAGGGTTTATTTCAAAGCATGGCTTAATTGAGCTTAACCAAGAAATGTGCTTTGGCGACATCTAGCGCAATATTTTTTTTCCTTCACCAAATGAAATTTCTAGGGTTTCCCATTTCTTGTGCATTCTGCTTACTTTCCTTTTTTCCAAGAGTTCAGTAGGTCTTGCTTGGCTGTTATTTAGATATAGAAATCATTAACGCAGATGATATGTGGAATGCTTCGGCATCCAGCTGCAAAAATATATTTATAGTAAAGGAAATTGTCAAGTTGATTGTTCCTCAGATATCTTTTTGCTTTGTTGGCCTGTTAAGTCTTCAAGTTTTTTATGGAATTGTGCTCCTTTCCTTTATTCCTTTTTGAGCTTCCCCCTCCAATAGCAGTTTTGAAATTTGAAAAATTCTGGTGAATATGTTTAAATGTACTCTAACAATGTCTATAAATGCTACACAGATAGAAAAAAGGGCCTCTTTTTTAGAAGGAAACCATTTTGTAATTTTTTGTATCATGATTGCATGTATCACGACAAAACATCACTGTTGTTTTAGCAGTTATTATACTGCTGCTGCTGTTGTAGTTGATATTTTTATCATCACCATAATCATCATCTTCATCACCCTCATCTTCATCTTCATCATCATTATCATCATGATCATCTTCATCTTCATCACCTTAACCATCATCTTCACCATCACCATTTATCATTCAAATACTGTTATCTTTTACTGTTCTTATTATTACTTTTGTTTGTGATGCTAACGTTATCATCATAATCACTCATATTGTTGGTCTTTTTTGTGTGTTTATTATCTCTCATACTTTGTTTTCATTATAATTATCATCTGTTTTTTTTTTCTTCTTCTTTCTCCTTTCTATTTTGCAGTAGAGAACTATGGAACGGATGGGAGGGATAACACTTCAATGTACAGCTTAATACCCAACGCAGACACTGCAATTTACATGTACATTTATGTCAAGACCAACATTATTATGCATTCTACCCGTTACTTTTGTTTTTTTCTCATCGTGGAAATGAAATGCAATACACAGCTACTTTCTTGTACCCTATATTTTAAATGAATCAAAGAAGGCTCTATTGAAATTGTTTGCATGTTTTGGGCATGGTAGTTATCTTATTTTTCAGGTTTGTATTTCCTTTTGATGGCCAAGTACTTTATTTTTTTTAATGGCTAAGTTTCTGCTCCTGATTTGGGAAGTGGTATAAAATGGAGGTATTACTTTTAGTAACATTTAGAGCATTTCTTTTTCTTTTTAATTGAACATTTTTGTGTGCAAAACACTGAAGAAGAAAATAAGCTACAGCTTGGTTTCATGGGACATTTTGACAGGGAAAATATACATATATCATATTAATATGATTTACAGCATTGATATATGGCATTACACATCTGTTAAATCAAACACAATAAAAGCATGAAATCAGTAATTCTTATTTAACCTGTTGATATTTACCACAATGAAGTGGGATGTGTTGTAAGATTGTTTTTACCAATGTGTGAAATATCATGTGTAAACATACAATAAATACATACCAGGATACTGTGTGTGGGATGGTAGGCAAATTATATTCTCACAATCTAGAAGTTTTTATACACCTTGTGAATTTGAATGTCCCACGTAATTGTATTGATTTTACAATATATTAATGCCTCCATTGACAGTCTGACCTGACCTAGCTACCTAGACATGTCTTATTATTGGTATCAAAATGTCTCAATAATACTAAGAAAAATAAATTTTTGATTTGGTATATTGTATTCCTATGTGCTCACAATGCTGCCATTACATGTTTGAGAATATTTCTGTCATGATGGTGTGTAGATCTTTAGTTTCAATTCTCAGATTGTAGCTACATGTCAAACACGATGTCTACACTGGTAGGGGATATTACAAGATACCAAGAATTTAACGAGTCAATATAATCTCACAAATCTCACAATCTCACAAAGACTATTGCAGTATTAGTGGCGTTTTTTACCAAAAGGAAAAAATGGTTTACAGGTGGAAGCCTTTTTGTCTCTTTTTGCGCCAGAAGAATGCCAACTCATACACAGAATTAAAACTTTTTGGCTCTGATATGACAATTTTTCCACCAACACATTGGCTAAACATGAATACTGATTCAAGGACTTTGTTAATGTTTCTTGATGCACTTTACAATTACAAATATGCATTATTTCATTGTGGGAAGAAAGAATGTTTAAAGACCCAAGCAATTTCATCATGCATGTTACAGTTGTAAATATCTGTCCTTCCACATATGGTGTATGAGAATGATAAACAATGGACCAGTTCAGACTTTAAATCCATGAGAAAGTTTAATGTTATGCAGCAACACAGTGGTTGTGAAGCAAGTGTTTATTACATTACTGACAATTGCAGTGAAAATATCACTATCAAATACTCAATTTCAAACTAGCTATTCTCCACTTTTGGTATCTGCATCTTTGGAGACCAGCAAAATGTAAACCCAATTACAAAAGCTTCTTGAAAACCAAACTAATATTATGGATAAAAGTGGGACGATATTTATCTTCTGCTTAATTTTAGAATTCTTATCATTTCTACAACTCATTGAGGAAAGACTTGAGCCAACTTTTCAACTCAATTCTTGTTTTGTACATGTGTGGCATGGTTTTAAGTAAAGTCATATTGTCTAATGACAAGTATCAATATCTTTCACGAGTGTAAATGTCACCAATATATGTACATTTACCAAACACCCATTACCGTTATACGCATATTGTATTCAAGTCAGTTCCAAATACTGATGTTGTATATGTCATTTTGTGACCAATAATTAAAAGTATATGTTGTATTTTGTAAAATTCTATCGAGCAATATTATATCTAATGTAATGAATAGATAGATCCTTTTCTATGCAATTTCTTATAACTCTTCCTTTGAAAGTTAAGATATGCAACGACATCTTTACCTTGTTTTAAGAAGACTAGATGTCGGTGAAATGTCCATGGTATGAGTGACTTTTAACTCTATAACCTTGTTTTATACAATCATGTGAATAACTTGTTTTATTATCAGATGATATGACAACTTTAATATTTTCCCAAGACTTAGAAGGTACAGTGGAATCTTGTCATGGTAAGAACCTTTTGAACATTAAAATTACCTTGTTATAAGAAGTATTTTGGTTCAAAAGTATCATGGTAAAGACAGGAGAGATGGGACCCATTCAATTACTTTAAGAGGATTTTATTATATTTAGGAGGTGTTTCACAAAGACTAAGATCGACTATAAGTATCTTTAATTGTGAAACACTCCACTGAGCTCTTTGTAATGAGGTTCCACGTCTGTCACTGTATAAAATATAACATAAATTATGCAGATTGCACTGAAGATGAGATTGCAAATACAATCCCTATGCAAATATAAAAACTGCCCAGCATTCAGGGAGCGTGTTCGTAAGCTAGAATACTATTTATATGCACAACAATTTCTAGTTGTATCATGAAATGGCCTTCCTTACATGTAGTACACATGTAAGTACCACAATGAATCTGATTGAAAATTTCTTTCAGATAAAATTCTCTGTACATTAAGATATCCTGGCCCCCCGTTTTATAAAACTGACCTTTGATGGTAACTTCCATGGAAACCTTGATTTGATTGGCTTTTGAGTGATGTTGCCATATTGATGGTAAAGTTAGCATCAATGGTAAGGTTACTGCATTGGGCCCTAGAGTGTACATGTATAGTCTTCATTTCACAAATGTCATAAATTCATATCATCACAAATAAGTCTGTTTTCACAGACTAATGATAACATTAATAATTAAGTGTCAAGTAACGCCTGACTGGAATGCTCCCCAGGGAGTGGAGATAGTGCACACAGTGTGTGCGGGCAAGTATTGAATCCAATGACTGGGGTAATAGTATATCTGTAAAGCGCTTTGAGACATCGTAGATGTATTAAGCGCTATATAAAAGCGGAATATTATTAATTATTATTATTATTATAATACATGTGTCTTCTTGTTTTGTATATTATCCATCTGTAAAATGTACACATGGGACTAGGGCCCCGTAACACAAGTTAGAAATTGTTTGTGTTACTGGCCCCGGGCCTAAGCAAGGGAACTCCATTAAAGATGTAATTTTAAGAATAAAACAAATAACGATGGACAAACAAAATAACTGAATGGAAGAGAACAACTTGCACCTAATCAAGCTTCTGAATAATGTATGGATGTATTGTAAGAAATAAAGATTTTGTAATATTTCCACTATGTTTAAAGAGATATTCTTTTTTGTGTTGTATATATCAGTACTAAATATATATTGATGTCGATGCCTGTATATTCATTTACCATTGTTATGTGGAGTAATAAGATTAAATTATGTGTACAAAATACAAATAAAATGTACATTGCCAACACACAAGAATAAAAAAGGAGTGGTTTGCATTTTTTTTAATGTACTGTCATTTTTATTGTTGTAATTAAGCAAGATCTCTGCCAGGTTCCCCTAAAATCTACCAAGATAGATCAAGTGATTGAAAATACACGTTAAAAAACTTTTTTTATACGTATAAAGCTTAAAAATGGAGTATAAACTTCTGAAATGTCAATTATTGATTCATCTATTCTCAAAGAGAAATTTATCTCCCATGTGAAATATACCATACTAGAAAGAATATTTACAACATTCAACAATAAATTACACAACAATAATCACAAAAAATAGCATGTACGTGCTTTCAAATGATCCTGCAGACCAATTGTATAATGAAAAAAGGAATAAACTCTTCCCAACACCCGGCCCAATAATAACACGTCCTTCCACTTGAGTTTACCATACAAGCACACACAATTGACATGTACATATACCACATTTATACATTCAAAACACTACCAGTAAGGTCATTTACAGAAACATTCAATGCATTTTATTTAGATATTGTGAGGATTGTAAAGAATGAGTGAAAATAAAGGCACTATGGAAATAGTTCAAGTTTACATGTAATAAGACACTCTAAAGACTATACATTTATCCACCGTAGTTCTAGATCAGACATGTACATAAAGTTACTTTAAACTGACTACACTTAAAGGTATAGACCACTTCTGGCCATGCGATTGCATTGTGAAAGAAACGTTCGGAGGAATCGGAGGAATCGATCAAGGTTGATCATCTTGGTAAAGTTACTAGCACTGTACACAGAAAGATGTATATGGGACTATGCGATATCTATCCAGTCCGGATAGATATAATAATTTACCAAATATATCAATTAGTAGGCGGTTTCCCGGCAAAATTTGTATCATGTATTAGTCAAAACATATTCTTTCACAAGATTAGTAATAAGAGCTTCCATTCCATTTTTTGAGAGGGGGGCATTTCCTTTAAGAGGTCTATTAAAGTGTACTACCAGTAATCACCTAAATAAATAATTGGTGTACAGCTAGAAAGTATAAAAATAACCATATCAAATTTCACCCTGCTTTTTATAGGCTAAGTATGAGGATAATAGCGACATTAAACTGTGCACGCGAAATACAAGTCGTACTTGGGTTGCGTGAAGGCTTTATTTCTATGTGAGCAAGTACGGGTGCTTCTAGGAGTCTAATCTCAAGTAGTTTAATCATGTTAATCAAGTGACTTACATTATCTCTTTACAGAAGCAATATTTCAAACTCTTAATTTGAATATAGTATTGCGACTTGCAACTACTAACATAGAAAAAAGATTACTTTTGGCGATTGGTACACTTTAAGACTACCAAAGGTAAAACCGAAGCGAACCATTACAAATAATTTAGTGGCTTTTATAGTAGATGTAGATTAGAGGCCAGTGTAAACAGTTTGACTGTATCATAATCGTCTATTATTAAGTTTCAACACAACCTGTGTAAATCCCAAAATTAATACATCGAATGTATTCTCACATGATGCTAATAATCATCTCAAGTACTATATGCAGCAAGATGGCTAAGAAAGGAAACAACAAGTGAAATCGTGCTACGAAAAGGAAATATGTTGAAACTAAACTATGGCTAAATTCACTTTCACTGATTATGTGAATATACCAAACTAAGATATAGTGATGAACAACAAACAAAACAAACAGGAAATGAAAAAACCCACACATCATACACATACAAAAATATAAATAGATAAACCAGGTGGTGGTATTCTGAAATGTGTACTGAAAACCATGTTATCTTTCATGACAGAAAAGAATGTTGACTGTTAAATCTGATTTAGGACAAGTCCTTTGTTAATGATAACTGGCTGTTAACGTGTACAGTTGCCAACAAAGAAGAGCTTCTACCATGCAATGTCCATTGAATTGCTACATGACAACCAACATACTTGTCATTATTAAACGTGAAAGATAACTTAGTGTTCAGAATATGGCCCCAGCATCATCATGCAAAGCTTCACATTTAATAGTACTGTAAATTTACCCTGCCCCCCTCAATAGAGACTCCTATTTTTCAAAGGGCAATCCAACCTTTTAAATAAGTACATTTGTTTGAAAGCAGAGTAAAGATAAAAGAAAGAGAATGATACAAGTTGAAATAAATTAGATCAATTAAAAAGAAAATGAAAGTTTGGAATATGAAATCACTTTAATCTACACTGAGGAAACTCAAATTACTGAACAATTTGGTGAGTGTATTGTCTCATATTCATGTTCAACTCTCCCCATTTGTCAGATACTCAGTATAATATCATTAATTCATGTTTTCTTCTCTGAAGAATCTTTTTCCTTGGGGAACTACTCAAAATCATAGGTCCTCCACAAATAAATAAAACCTCTTGAGTAATGCAATTTGAAAAAATAACATTTTAGTTACTGTTACTCTGTGTGTCGGAACAAATGGGGATTGTCCAGCACTACATCACAGTGACAATACCAATTAAGCCAATATGAAATTTCCATATGTCTTGTGATTACAACTTTAAAAAATTCATAACATTCTTTAATACTTATTTTCCTATTTCATTCAAACTTTGACCATTCTGCTTTTTATTAATTGTTCCGCTTTCTTTTACAGCAATCTGCTCTTAAAGCCCCCTGCACTACTCATAGCTACTTGCGCCCTCTATATAGCAAACAATGCCAAATCGGTGACCGTTGTACTCCCCATGGTCCCCTTTTTCTTATGTTAATTGAGACCTGAGTTGATGAGATAACCACCTGTCAGTGACCACCCTGGGTGGTCTAATCTCTCCTGGCCAACCTAGTGCAGATGGGCTTTAAGGTTGGATTTCCCTTTGAGTTCAGAAGTTACCCATATTGCATCCACAACAGAGCTGTCGTGATGAAAGGATTACCCTCCATAGACCTTGGGTTGTACTACTAGAGAATCGGCATCTGCAAATGGAAGCATGAGAGATTTATTGCCTGTTCAGACTTGATATGACAGTCACATAAAGAAACGTATAAAGAAACATAAAGAAACGTATAAAGAATCATCCTTAGCAAAAGGAGTGTACAGAAAAGATAACAAGATAAAAAAAAAAATAGTTTTGAAGAGCTCAACTGACATGACATCTGGTCAATCATTAGTGCACGCTCACAACAAGTCCTGCAGAGTTATACAATTTTTGTACAATACAACTACAACTGGACCATGATTCTTTATCAAGTTTTTTTCGAAACGATGCTAAACGACGTTTCTTAACACAACATTCAGACTGTGAAAAGGTAAATTATTTTATTTTGGATAGCTATACAATGAATTACACATGTTACAGAAGGGGGAAGGCTTTTGAAACCCTACCAAAAGAACTAACTGTGCAGTTTTACAGCTATGTGCCCCTCACCTCACTTTTACAAAATAACGGATCCAACCTCGTCTACTAGCACATGGAAAGTGCAAATAAAATATTACATTCTATCGATTTTGACGGTAACAATTAACTTTGTTGGCATATATGTAATGTGCCATGATATTGCTCAATTCGGAATCAATGAAGAATAAATGCAAACTTAATTGCCTTGATTGTCTAAATTAAAAACAAAACAAAACTGGACATTTTTGATTTTATGGTTTTTAAAAATTACCAACATCATAGCATGCACATCCCTCAACTGTACATTTTACAACTTTCGTTTTATATGGGTTATAAGTAGTATCTTTTTTCATGTTCACTATTGATGAAAGAGAAGTGTTCTTTGTAATTTCTTTATTTCACACACCGACAAGTAGAATATATACACTCACATTCTTCATGAATTAGATTTTTCAATATGAGTGCATGGAATGAACTCTTCTCCTCTTCTTCAGTCTCTTCTCCGTCATTCAAGACCGTATCTGCAGTCTCATCACACACATCCTTATCCTTCTCCTCCTGGCATGTCTCTGTTTTCTTTGGCTCCGTAGGTTCAAAGTACCTGCACATCAAATTATAATATTAATAATAATAATAATCATCATAATAATCATATTAATCATAATAATCATAATAATCATTATAATCATCATCATATTAATCATAATAATCATTATAATCATTATCATAATAATAATAATAATTATAAACAAATTACATAATAATCATGACAACAACAATAATAATAAAATAATAATAGTGGCTTCTTGAATGGCGCTCATGTCTGTCAGAGTTGACACTCCTGGGGGTGTTTCACTGTCACAAAGACTAAGATCAAATTTAAGTTGGACTCAACTATGGCAGACCATTCGTGCCACTGTTTACTCACCATTTACTGGCATTGAACTCTCAAGGGACGTACAAATCATCGTCATAAATCTACAGAATTTACACTTTTGATCATTCATTATTGAGGGAAAAAATAATATCTTAAGATCATAATGGAGGGAGCAAACAATGGCATGAATGACCTACCATAGTTTACCGTTTACCGTGTCATTTCTGATTAGGGCCTTAAGAGAGAAAAACATGTATGTCACTATGTTTTTCTATTTTTGGCTTATTTGATGTCCGAATTACGTCAAATGGATTTTGCATCATAGCCTAAAAATATAGAATTATTTTTCAAAACAGTTTTAATCTGCTTACTTACCATCCTAAATGTGATCTGCATTGCGGGCATGAGATGATTTGCCAGCCATAACCATCAAACCATGTATGATCCTTATGAAGCTAATGGGGAAAGAAATGTGAAAATAAAAATCAAATAAAGGTAGCTCAAAAATAAAAAGTGAAGGAAAACAATTTTAAAGATTTGTTTATATTTCATAATCAAGATAAAGCCCAATAAAACACTTATATCTACTTTTATTGTCTGAAATTGAACTTGAACTTAGGTTTTAGGTTTGGTTTAGAGTAGAGTTAGGTTAGGTAAAGCTTTTGTCATGCATTGAAGCTATAGACATTCAGTTATTGTGAAGATATTGACTGTGGGGCAATTGTCACCAGAGCATGTGTTGTAGAATTGATCCACTATATACCTCTTTCAACACTTTTTATGGCATGTGATATTAAAATGAGGTAATTATATGATTATGATTACTTACATGTGGTTGCTTTGAAACTTCAGCAGCAGACGTTGTAATGATTTCAAAATGCCGGCCTGGAAAATGTATAATTTTTTTTGTTAAATGCACACAAATTTTTTAAAAATAAAATTAAGTTTTCTAACATGATTTTGATAATGACCGGTCATTTACCTATGATAATGACTGGTCATTAACCAAATTACGCACGATTACGCGTTGACAAAATAAATGCCTGGTCACATGTACGCTTTCAACCAATCATTTGATTAGGATCCACGTCATCATCTTATAAACACTTATAAGTTTAAATTAAATTAAAAACGTGGACCATTTTCCAGGCACACAAGTGTTCAAACAACAATGAAATGCATACTTCTGGGTTCCCATTAAACACCCTAGTGGCCCAAACAAATGTAAGTCCAATGCTTTACTTATGTGCCCTGCAAGGGCTTGAACCTATGTCCTTTGCATTTTCTGGCAAGCATTGAAATCACTCAATAGCAAAATGCCATAAGCTATAACTAAAAGGTGCAATAGTCTTGACAGAATTTACTTCAGGCCTATAGGGAATAAAAAGTTTATTCAGGAGAGCCTTTCTTTGATTTGCTGTCAAAATAATGAGATATATCCTTGACCCAATTGTTTATATTGTTACCGTCAGTAAAAGAGTTCTCTTTAGTTTTTGATAACTAAATTACTCACTGCATTTCTGTTTTTATTTTGCTGTTTCAGGAAAAGGAAGTACATATAAAACAGATTTCATCCCAAGCTGTAATATTATGACAATGATAGACATACAAACTAATAATGAACTATGATTAAATGAGCACACTGAACTTCTTACCTTGTGGATTTTTGAGGAGTTGAATTAGGACGTTTTCTTTTCCAAGAATGGTACCATTTCTCCGATGCACAGCCTGGGTAGTGCCCACTGTTACAAGTCTGAAGCTTGGGCTATCTCGTGACCGCATTGTCTGCATAGCAGGACTGAAATTAGATACATTCACAAAGACTCTACATCAAATAACATTCATCTTGATGCAAAAATGATTTTAGTCTACATGAAAAAGACAAACGAGTCTGATGATAAGCCGTCTTTTGCGAAGTAATAATCTATAAATGACATTGATCTTGATTGATGTGCGATGCCGATGCTATTTTCAATTTATTTGTATCTAATTTTCAGACATAAATATACCTGGAATATAGGGCATTATCGTAAAGTAGAAAACCAACATTCGCTCCACACAGCAGCACTTCATTCCTTTTTCCCATCCCCTAAGTTAGGCCCTACACAATAATGACAATAGCGTAGACCCCTCTAGATCTATTAGTATTATCATAATGTGCAGACAAAATATATAGCCGAAAATGAAAGACAAAAAGAGCAAGGAATATTAAGTGTTCCTGGACAACTGGAAAAAAAACGCCCCAGTAGGCCTAAAATGAAGGCAAGATCTACATGCAACATGCAAATTGCTCAGTCTGTGTGACACAGAACTCACACCGTATTGAGTATATGGGGCAAGACTTAAAAGACAGTGGCGTTTGGCATAAACATCTTCTAAGATTATCACACTATTTGTTTGTTTATAAATTAATCTACAATTCTTACCATTATCGAAATCATCACCATAATGACCTATTACTACTGCCGTCTGTAGTAGACAGACCAGGAACATGAAAATGGTGTAGTATACGCTGTATGGCAAGGCAACCGCCACGACAAATACGCGTCGTCTGCTACTCAATGCGGCCATATTGAAAGAATGCGAGATCGGAGCATGCATATGCACCCAAAAGCATATCCGCGACGGGATCCGCGAGCAGTGATTGGTTTAAAGTTTACCCAAGGCCCAATTAAAGCTGCGGGATTATTCCAGATCGTTCTAAGATCCGAGAGAGTAAAATGAAACGAAAATTTGAAAACATATAGTCCTGCCAGTCCTAGAAATCAAATTCATTTACCCCCTCCCTTTCTCTTTCTCTCCCTCTCTCTCGCTCTTGACTTTTAAATTCATTTAACACATTTTCCAATCTTTAGTTGATCTTCAGAATGCCCCCCCCCCCCCAAAAAAGGAACAGAAGACATGTAAAAAAAAATAGGAGGAAAAAGATGTGGATGGAGAAAAAGGAGAAAGATGTAGAAAAGGAGTCTAGAGGAAACTACTTGTTATGACTTGTTGAATTACTCTTTGGATAGCAGATTCCACGATTTTGAACATATTTTGGGCAACATGAATTAAAAAAAACTTGAAAGTCAAAATGATTGTCTAAAGTAGGGGGGGGGTATTTTTGTAAACATCTACCTGCATGCAGAAGACCCCAGGGCGGATCCAGCGGGCCGCGAGGGAGAGGCCCAATTCGTTAAAAAATATTTAGCGACGACTCAGCCGACCGGCCGAAAAAGCAGGGAGGGGGGGGGGGGGGTGGGGTAGTGAGCCCCCCTTTGAGCAATTTTTGTTTTAGTCAGGGAAGGGGGCCAGGGCCCCCGGGCTCCCCCTGGATCCGCCACTGGAAGATCCCTCCATTTTAAACAAGGTTTTTTTTTCTTATTCGATACCAGTGATTAACAAATTTTGCTAAAATTAAATGATTTTCTGAGATTTTTTTCTCACTTTTTTGTAAATTATACTCTTTCATGCATTCGTGGGAAATTTGCAAAATTCCCAATTTACAGGCAGGCAAAAAATATGCTCATTTATTAGGCAGGGCACGTAGCCATGATGTTTGGGGGGCACCTTCATGTAATCAATCGAGGTAAAAAAAAAAGGGGTCTAAAAAAGTTCAACCAATCTTGCAAAAAAATTTACAGGGAGCCTGGCCCCTGGACCTGACCTTTACGCTCTACTTTATACTTGAACCCCCAGCCCCCCACCCGCACTTTGAAAATTGTTCTGCGGGGCCTGCATGTGAGAGTGGTGGTGATGCAGATTCTTTCTTTTTTTGCGTCCCCTCCCCCCTGCCCCCCCCCCCCCCAAAAAAAAGTGTTTTTTGCTCGTTAAGCCACTGGAAATCTAAATAAACGTCATCTTCATATACACTATGTTTTAAAGGTACTATGTCCCTTTTGCAGCCTACCTCAAATTCTGTAGAGATTTGCAGGAATTATGAATATGTCATGTAGGTCCTATCTGTGAAATTAAATGTTAGCAGTGTCCTCATATTCAAATTATGCAAGGAAACCCGTTTACTTGCTAGACTTCACTGTCAGACACTATTGAGTGACTGACTGGCTTTTTTTCTTCTTTGGTAATAACATACATGAAAAGAGTTGTAAAGGGTACATGAGCATTTGTCTACATCAATAATCCACTGATTGAATCTTTGCGCAGCATAAAACGTATGACCATTCGGTACAATTGTCTGAAAATCAAGACTATTTCTTTTGGGCTCTATAGCCCTAAAGTCGATTTTACAACTAATAGTCGTTATTTTCCCACTTGAAGACATTTTCAAGCCCCACCTTTTTTAGGGAAGTTCTAAATTAGTATTATCTTTCAAATGCAGTTGGAATTTAACTTTTTCATTTTTTTGGCCTGCAAAAGGGACATAGTAGCTTTAAAACACAGGCGTTATAAACCTATTATAGTGCCTTCTAGTCAGAATTCCATCAAATCATTGTATTTTGCAAAAAATTGTTTTGAAATTCTTGCAAAACTTTTTTGTAGTCTTCTTGCATGCCTTTGTTGTCCAATTAAAAAAAAAAAACAAGTCTATCATATTTTGTGTATCTAAAAATTCCAGAATCTGTTTAGTCAGTTTGGTTTATTTCTTGGTTTTATTTCTGTGCGTAACACTTTTTTTGGATTTGGATTTTGGGTAAAAGCACCAGATTAAGTTCACGGTCATGGTAATCATCTTTCAATCCCATTGGCCGTGTTCTGTGTAGTCAAGGTCCTCTCTAGATCGTCCAAGTTGCACTGACTGGAAATAGACCAGACCAAACAGACGTTTGTATTTCCCTTGAATAGCAACAGTCATGATGGTCATCAGTCAATGTCAAGTCAGTAGGGCTCTTGTAAAGGCATACAAGTGTGGATGCACATATTTGTAAACTCATTCACTACACTTTGGGCTCTATCTTTCTACAATTTATTTGCAGCTCTCCACTATCATACTTTATGTGTGAAAGAAAAGGATTTATTCTCTATTTAATCAGGGCCCTGTTTCATATAACTTCCTATCAATAATTTCTGCTAAATTATCAAATTCATGACAAATTAGCTCTCAGCCACTCATGCCACTCTATCGGTAGCTTTTAACAGTTAATGAAACTTGTTATTGATAACAGGTTTTATGAAAAAGGTCCCAGATGAGCATTTAATGGCAGAATTCATGTACAATTCTCTTTTCAAATCACATCTGCATTTTATAGCAGAATAAATATACCGTATCCAAAATCTCATCCTTTGTGTGTTAAAAGATAATGCAGTGTTAGTAAAGTTGAAAGGGCCAAAATAAATCACTATAGCCTTTTCCTGTGACGGTAGACCACAACTCTTTAAAAAAAAAAAAAATCAAATCAATGACCTTTATAGTATTAATTCTCAGTTTCTCACTTTGTCACAATTTACTTCTCTCTACTCATATTCCCACCCAAAAACCCCCCAGCTCAGTACCTCTCACATCTTCTGAATTCAATACATATATGTGAACAAAGTTGCACTCATATCAAAGTACTAATGATCATTCCCCCCCCCCCCCTATTAATATTTTAAGGGATAAATATATATAATAATGAGTGATTTGTACAAAAAAACACCTACATTGTATCCAAAATTCCTTGAAAAATGTGGTAATTGGAAGGGTTCATACAATGTAAAAACCTGTACTTGCTGTACTAGAGAAAAGTAATGGTCAAGTTTTGGTTCAAAAAAAGCAAGCAGGAAATGTACAATCACAAAAATTGCAGAAATTGTCCACAATTCAAATTCTCCTTTAAGAATCGGGCATTGTTTGTGTTTCCCCTCTTTGGGTTGGGTAATTTATCACTCATTCAAATCTGGACGATAGTATTCTTTTGTGTGTGTTGTTTCTCCATACGAGTGTACCAGTAATATAGTTGACATATGCAAGTAACCATTCTGGCAGAAAAACTTCTTCTCCATACAGTAATGTAACAGCCGATCTTGAGCTATGGTGATTGAACTGCATTTCAAGAGAAACTTAACGTGAAATAATACTACATTACATTGTTGATTATGCAGTAGATCAGGTATTTGGAAGAAAAAAAAAGGAACACAAACTGATAAAACCGTGCGATCTACTCGAATGGTAACAGGGCTCATTTCATAAAACTTTACAAAGCCTAGTTGTCAACCAACTGTGTACTGTAGCCTATGTAATTAGTTGATGAGTTAGCTTCGTAAGGTGTTATGAATATGAGCCCAGGACTAGCTCAAATTCTTCATCTTTCAGTTCAACAGTATAAAACATCAAAGGTAAGTTTGTTTATTTGACATTTCATTTTTTCTATCATTCCCAGAACTCAAGATCAACTTCTTAAGACAGGCAACCCAAACAAAAAGACACTGCTTAGACCATCATTCATTGCATGTGACAATGTACTTTATTCATAATTTTTTTTTTGGCCTATTGTTTTTGTGTGTGTGGCTTGCTAGTTCATCTAGTTCATCTAGTTCATCCTCCTGATGAAGTCGTTGATGAACTTCTCGCGGTTGCCGTAGTCACCACCCTCGACGAAGTGGTTGCCCTTCTTGCGGTAGCCGTTGCGGGGTGAGCTGAGTTTGAAGGGCCAGAGGAAGTTGGAGGCCTGCTTGAAGTTTTCGCCAGTGGTGAAGATCTCATGGATCAGATCCTCCACACAGATGATGCCGAACTTGCCTGCAGAATTACAACAAGAAAGAAGACAAACTTTAGATTTTTACTGGTTTCAAGAAATCAAATAACAATCCTGAAAAAACATGTATTTACATATATCAGACTTACTTAATTTGCAGGTCAACAAATCAAAAGGTATACTGTTTTCATGTTGACAGTACTGCTCTACATACACATACAAGAGGGAGGGAGAAGAGAGAAGGGATAGTAGTCGCCAAGATGGAGCTTAGAACTCTTGATAGTAGTATGACATAGGAATCAGCAACACCAAATACACACTTCACATCCAGTGATTTAGACTGTTTTCAGAGGCAAGATGCTTTGCAGATTTTTGGGGAAAAAGGTTTGGTGAAATGGTTTAAAGCTAAAGACCAGTTTTTGAAACGACCCCCTCTCAAAAATGAAAAGGAAGCTCTTATTACCAATCATGTGAAAGAATATGTTTTGACCAATACGTGATGATACAAAGTTTGCCGAGAAACCTCCTACTAATGGATATATTTGGTAAATTATTATATTTATTTGGACCGGATAGATATCACGCATGTGTCGCGTAGTCCCATAGACATCTTTCTGTGTACAGTGCTTGTAACTTAACCAAGACTGGGCCAAATTTCTAATCATTTTGATGATTCCAGAACGTTTCTTTCACAATGCAATCGCATGACCATAACTGGTGTTATAAAAATAGTGATAAGTTTCACTCTATCAGCTTAAGTATTGGTCCAGGCTTCACCCTTTGAATTATTTCCATAGGTGAAGCTTGTATGTGAAGCATGGAGTGTAGGCATGGCGTAGTGCTTACGGAAGTACTGCAGAGGGGTCATTCGCTAAAGCAACAACTTGCGAAAATGTCTCTTAGCCCCCCCCCCCCCCCCCCCCCCCCCGTCATTCGCAAAAAATATCAGCTTAAACAGTAGTTGTTTGAAACAACACAACTTGAACATATTTTTGACACGACCGACGTAGTATCACCAGAAAACACAAATTACACGCAAAGCCACAACTTTCATCAACTTTATAGGTAAAGTTTCACCTGATTATTAAACAAGAAGTTAAGGACTTCACTACAACGTCAAATGTATAGACCTGTAGCTTTTGGCATCGATATTTTTTGGTGACCTCCAAGGAGGATGAGTCCAGGCTTCAAATTGACACCTGCATATTAAAGGTCAAAGGTAATCAATAGTACAGGTCACTTACCAAGAGCACCCTCAATGATAGCGTTGTCAGTCATAGGGATGCGGCTGCCGTTCTTAATCTTGGCGAATCCTCGCTTGTAGATCAGCTCACGGACTGACTTCAGATTGGGGTACCTGACAGAGCAAAAGCAAACATTGTCATTCATTACAACGTCACAAGATTTTCAGTTTTCATTTTGGGACTTCTTTATTCCACTTTGAATTTTAAATTGGTGTAAGCAGTATCAAATCATGCTTACAAAGAAGACATACCGTCTTGCAGATTTATTTTAGTAACAGAATCGTTATTCATGATTTAAGAATCATTGTTGCAACGGTGACAGTATAAAAGGATCCAACCTTTATTGCTACAAAATTTGAAACACATCTCGAAAACCATGTACACATACACAAAACATGGGTTCAGTGTCGTCTTTGAAGAACTTATTCCCACCTACCATCAGATTTTTTGGTCATGCCTTAAATTCTAATCTGTTCATTAATATATTAATTCCTTATCAATTGAACAAAGAAAGCCTATAAAGAGAGTTATCTTTTTGAACAAAAAAGTTTATATCAAAGCTTATGAGCAGATGGAAACAAATCGTGATTACGAGCTATTTTTGCATACATAATGAACCCCGCGACCCTAAAATCTAATCAGTTCATTAGCTCTGCCAGATATATGGTTTAAGTTTGGCAGGAATCTATCTATTAGTTCTTAAGATGACGCGATCACGAGAACGGGACGGACAACCCACAGACATAATGCCTCTGGCTACTTCGTAACGGAGAGATAAAAAGTCAGGAAAGGAAAACTTTATTTCTGCCACGGTTCCAGAGTAGTCGCTAAATTACTACAAGGGGAGGGGTCAAATTGACCCCCCCCCCCCCCCCCCCCAGTTAACATAGAGTAAAAGGGGGGCAACTTCCACTAGAAATGGGTATCTTTTGGATGATGAGATACCCTACGAGCAATAATCCTGCTTGACTGAATGCGATTGTACTTACCCCCAGGCAATGTAGGGCTCGACCAACCTCAGCATCTGCAGGGTAGCCTTGTTGAGACGGACAAAGACTCCATTGTGGATCTGTCGCAGACGAAGCAGCTGAAGGACCTTACGGACACGGGGGCTCACGCCGTTGATACTAAAAGATTAACAGAATCATACAAAGCAAAATTGTTGAATGTGATGAACCAATGAAGTTCCATATCACACTAGGAGTGTAAAGAAAGTTTAAATTTAAAGAAAACTTAAAATGGTTAAAATAGTATGGTAGAAACAGGCTGAATTGGATCTGAGGGAAATCCATTTAACAAAAACCAAGGAAATCAGCGCAACAAACAAACAATTTAAACAAAATCAGGTAAACATTTATAACAAAATGAAATAAAATCCAACATGTATCTTGTGTATAAAACACTGTAGAGTCTGTGGAACAGCTGCAAGGTATTAGGACAAATTCATTTTAATTTCAGCATACAACAATTGAAAGAGTTGTCCCGATCTAACTTCTCACTGATATCGCATTTGCCAATTTTCAGATTCACACAAAGTTATTTAGACTTTCTGATCATTTGGCATTGCTCCATATGTTCACCAACCTGACTCAATTTGTCATGTCACATAATATATCTCTTTGCAGAAGTTGGATTCCTCTTTATGCTAAGTTCACACCGATGCCGAATTGATGGCGAATTAAATCGGCGAGCAAAGCGGCGGCAAAGCGCAACAAAGCTTAATTAAAGCGTAAAGACCATAATAGAGCGTGAGAAAGCTTTGAGCAATTCGGGACATTAGGCAAGAGCGCCAATTTTTTTTTAAACTGTTTAAAAATTTGAGGCGATCTGTCACGAATTGCGTAAAGCGGGGAGAGCGTATTAAAGCTTATCAAAGCGTCACAAAGCTTATCAAAGTTTTGCTCAAAGCGTAGGAAAGCTTAACAGAGTTTAACAGAGCTTGGTTCAAAGCGGTGACCCCACTTTGTACGCTCTGTCACCAATTGACACGCTTTGTTAAGATATCAGAGCATAACATATCTGAGGAGATCGTGAGATTTTTTGAAAAGTAAACAAAAATGACGCCGAATTGATTGCCGATTTAAAGCGCGACATTCGGCGTCGGTGTGAACTGTGCATTAAGGTTGAGGTACTGGAGAATCACAATTTTGACAACAAATAACATGACACAATAATAATTACAATAATGATTTTGTGAACAGAGGGAAGCCTCATCAGCAATGCTGTTCCCCACAAGGGCCCTGCAATTATTATCACCCCAGCACTTGCCAAGTACCCTTTTTAGCCTGTGGTATGAGAATGGAAGAAATGTGGTTTCATGTCTTGTCAAAGGACATTAGTGCTAGGTTGGGATTCAAACCCTTAACCCTTGGATTAAGAGTCAAGTGAATGAACCACTGTAGAATAGTTTGTGCACCAAAGAGCCTTTGTTGCTAGCAACATTCCCATTCCTAAATAAAAGCTCCAAATATGAAGCAGAATATAGTATGTTTTGAAGGTTTTGAACCAGTTTTTACTGTCTTTGAGAATGGGCCTACACTAAAAGTTTAGCCCATTTAATATCAAGTTCACTCACCCCCTGATCCTGATGACAAACGCTAGTCTAGGTTCATCTTCGACGTAGAAGTTGCCATGCTTGCGAGCCTGACGGTGGAGACGGACAGTGTCACGTTCACGCTTCTTGTACTCCCTGATGTAGTCCTCCGCACGCTTGAAGATCACGCGCCTCTTCTTGGCATTCTCCTGCAGATTTAGGGTAGGCATGGATTGATGAACATTTTGAACCATACTATGACAATTTTTTTTAAAACTCCCACGTCTTAGCTCATACTCATTGCTGTAAGGAACTAAGAATACAGTTCATAATCATAGAATATAATTTATACCAAAATCATAAATGCTTTCTCTCGCTGCAAAAGCCAAAATGGTAGGAACATTTTAATCACTGAAGAGCTGCTAAACAGCTAAGCTTGAAGAGACAAAATGAATTTCACATCTTGCTTCTCACAACTTTTCAAACAATCAGAACAAAGATATGTACAACCTGTACATGTACATGGGGTTGTAAACAGTACTGTGCTAATGTCCTGTCCTCTCCCCCCCCCCCCCCCCCCCCCTCAGAATACTCAAATAGAATCATTTCTGTTCCAGAGTGAAAGAAAACAAGTATTGTAAACTAAAACCTGAACATTTAAATTTGGAAATCTCACCTTCTTGGCAAGGAGGCGGGCCTGTGCCCTCTTGGCCTTCTCAGTTTGTCTGTTCTTCCTCTTCTTCAGAAGAGATTCTGGAGCCGTTGGCAGCTTTTTTGACGCACTGTGACAAAAGAAAATGAATAATTAGGCTTTTCCTATCCACAGAACATACATTTTGTAACTAGAGGTCTACAATTCAAGGACAAAAGAGAGAGTATGCAAATCTTTTTAATGGGACAGAACTGTATCCATGCCACGTACAGCACATCATGAATGGTTTTAGGGGAGCAAAAGAGAATCTGCCTTGCCATACATCAAGTTGGCTTATGCTACGGGCACAAAGGTTCGTACGAACGATAATTTCGAACAAATCTGTTTTTCCATTGTCTTCCCGAATTTCCATTGTCTGAAATCGTTCGTACGGCGTTCGTAATGGCATTTGTGACCCGAGGCTTTAGTTAACTGGAAGGTAAACAAAGCTATTGCAGTGCTTCACAAATGTCCACATTTATTGATAAATTCTTTTATCTCAACTGATTTTGATACAAGTAAAATTTGCAAAGAAGAGCCCCGAGTGAAGCAAACTATGAAGGTAACATGCAAGCTTTGTCGTGTGCGGGCATGGGTGATTGCATACCCAGTGAGGTTTGTTTACATTGGTAGCTCTCCACGGGTAAAATTTTGGATAGACTTCTGAACTAGCACCAAGAGTTAGACCGTTGTGCATATTGTAAATGCAGTAAAGACCCTAGATCTACGCTCGTTTTCTTCAGAATCAGATGGTGCGCACTGAACTCGCTGCAAGCAGCTCATGCACAGTCAGAGGCGGCATCAATCTAAGAAACCTCACACTGCATTCACCACTGACAAATGCTGGGCTATGTGCTATTTGTATGTATGTGTGTAGGAGACCCTAGGTAGGCTACTAAGAATAGGATTTAAGTGTGAATTTGAAGTGACCGTCGAGTGCTGCCCATCATTTCCATTCACTGCACGCAAAAAACCGCTAGGCGCTGCGTAGCCTACAAAGTGAACGGGCAGTGGCGTATTTCATTAAAATGCCAGTAGAATACGGGACTCTAGCTAAGCAGTGCCAGTGGCTTATTTTTTCGACAATGAGGAATTATTTGGGAGGAATTTCGGGTGTGTGCTATCACTATCAAGTATCAGTATCACACATTTAAACCAATCGACAGTTTATTATCTCGTCACGTCTAGTCTGCGTCCGTGAACATGTCAACGTACAGTACATGTCAGCAAACCGTACTTTTACACGACTATAATTCAGAAAAACAGTGGGATTTTTGTGGAAATGCTTGCAACACATTGATCATAATTCTATCAGGTACAAATAGTGTTAATATAATCCAGCAATAATATAGGATTCGTCAGATCTAAGGAGATTGTTGAAGGAAGTGTTTAGATGTGTACCTGTCTGCCATGTTGGGCCAATTGGAAAGGATTAAATCTGAATGTTGCGCGCCCTCTTGTGCTGGATCCGGCGGAAGCTATTTTGATCGCAACCTTCGTCTAATACTAGTACCCCGGCATCTCTATCTATCTATCTTTTTTTTTTTCTTTCTTTCTTTCTTTCTTTCTTCCTTTCTTCCCTTTTTTGTCAGTGGTCAAAGTGTTGAGAGACAATATACCAAAGGTAAAAACTTCAAAAGTAAAACATGGACACTAACAAAATTAAGTAGGCCTTTTTTCTTTTTTTTAGGGGGGGGGGGTCGAATGTATTACCTAATGTATTTATTTGTTTTTAATATTGATGTTGTAGTCGATTTTGTTTTCCTTCATATATGCTATTTATCTTATGATAGTTCTGCAATGATCTCATTTCATAATCAAAGTGATATCCCCATAGCCGAATGAGACCGTGGGGGGACACAAGTTTACTGAGGATAAGGGGGAGGGGGTCGGAGAACATAGAATGCGGGGTTTGCAGGGTATGGTGTGTCATAAGGGTTAACACCCCCCCCCCCTCCTAATATAAATTTAGTATCAGAAACAGTTAAATATATAGACTGAATTTAACAAACTAATAAATGAAAGGTTTAATGTTTGCATTTTTTTCCTAAAAAGCGAAAATGTTCCATAATATATAACTTACTTTAACAGAATTTTCATATCTCAAATAATTTAGAAGCCCTTAGATCTATATGGGGAAAAAGTGAGGGGGCATATGCCGCATATTAAATCAGGGACCGCAATGGCGCGCTCATCTTGGTTTCATAAAGCTCCCGTCACACCAGACTCGTTCAGTCGTTGTGAAAAAAATAATTCCAAACGGGTTACAACAAGTGGTGAACGCGAACGGACTGGACGTCTCCCCTCTAATATACTCTCTCTCTTTATTTTATCCATCTCTCTCTCTATCTCTCACCCTCTCTTTATCTCCCCTCTATCTCTATCTCTCACTTTATCTCTCCCTCTATCTCTCTCCCTCTATCTCTCTCCCTCTTGCTCTATAAACTCTCTCTTTCTCCCTCTATCACTCTCTATATAATATCTCTTTCTATCTCTTTCCCTTTCGTACACCGTTTATAACATTATTCTGCCAAAAGGGGGTTTGACGGCATGGATTATCTTAATTCAGAGAAACAAAGACATAATGTTCTCTTAATCTCTTTAAACAACTGTAAGGATTCAGAAAAGGCTAAAAAACAAACACTCACTCGGCGTAAACATTCATAATTGAATGACACACAACATGACTAAAACAACAACAACAACAATTCGTGACTTTGATAGTGTTTATGACAGGCAAGTGACGACACTTGGTATATATCTATACTTCGCCCAAGAATTTGACATGATTGATCACTGCATATTTTTTTTGCAAAAAATAAATAAAATAAATAACAACAACAAAAACATTGCCATATATGCTGTTCCATTCAATTTTATGACTGAACTAGTCAACAGTTATATTATTACATCCTATGATGAATCATAAAAAAGGTAGTCAATGTTACATAATTACATGTGATTTCTGGAAATGCAACACACTAGGGTTAAGCATCATACTTCGCAGTTGGTTATGATGGTCTGAAAATCCATTTGCGAGCGAGGATTTGTGAGGTCGCAGTGCGTAAATTACATCTAAAGAGGAAAAACACAATCCTGATGGGGCTATAAGCACATTCTCATAACGGAAGACTAAAAAGACGTTTGATGAGTTACATAATTATAACATCTATGTTATAACTACGAGCGAGCGTAGCGAGCGAGCTTTGGGGGGAAATTGCTCTTAGTCGCTTGAAATTAGGGGCACGTTTAATGACGAGAGGAAAAGGGGACACTTATCGAAAGGGTTAAGACACTAATATTAGTAGAAAAGAAAAGGAGCACGTGTCAAAGTACAAAGGCTAATTGTCAGAGGTGAAAATAGAGGCACGTCTTACACCTAAAAAAAAGAGGCACGCACCATGCAGGGATAAAAAGGGATTTTATAAGAATGGGAAATGGGCATTTGTCGACGGAAAAGAGGCACCCATCAGATTTTGATAGGGGGCGTTTATAAGAAGTGAAAAGGAGCACTTATGAAAAAGGGATAGGTTCCTTATTAGAAAGGGAAAAGGGGCACATATCATGTTTAAAAGGGTTATTATCAGAGGTGAAAAGGGGGCACTTATGCGAATGAAAAAGGGGCACTAATGATAAAGGGAAAAGTGCATTTGTTGAAAGAAAAATGGCACCGATCAGATTTGAATAGGGGCATTTATCGGAGGTGAAAGGGGGCTTTCATGAGAAGGGGGAAGTGGCTCTTATTAAAAAGAAAAAGAGGCACATGTTAAAAAAACGGGGCACTAATCAAAAATGAAAAGGGGTAATTGTTAGAAGGAGAAGGGGCACTTATAGGAAGAAAAAGAGCATTTATTTGGAAGGACAAGCGGGACGTGTAAAAATAAAAGGGGAATTTATATAAGATGAAAAGAGCACTTATCAGGAGGGGAAGGGGCACTTGTCAAAATAAAACGAGTATCTCTCAGAATTGAATAGGGTCATTTACAAGAGATGAAAGGAAACTTTTTTCATAAATGAAAAGGGGCATTTATGAGAAGGGAAAGGGGCTCTTTTTTAAATTGGGGCACTTATCATAAGGAAAAGGGACACTTATTAAACAGGAAAGGGGGTAAATGTGAAAATATAAGGTGCGATTATCCGAGTTAAAAAGGGGGTAGTTATTAAAAGGGGAAAGGGCACTTTTTACAAAGCAAAAGGGGAACTTGTCAACGCAAAAGGGGAACCTTTCAGATTTGAATAGGGCAATTATTAGAGGTGAAGGGGCGCTTCTTGTACCTGAAAAGAGGAACTTACTAGATTAAAAAAGGCACTTATGAGAATGGAAAATGGACACTTATAGCAAAGGATAATGTGAACTTGTCAAAGGAAAAGGGGAACGTGTCAAAATAAAAAGGGGCACTTATCAGAGGTGGAAAGGGGAAGGGGCACTTTTACAAATTAATAGGGGCACTTGTCAAAGTAAAAGAGGCACTTTTCCTATGTAAAAGGGAGCACCGTTTGGGTACTTGAACAAGTGGGGGGGGGGGCTGCAATGGGGGGGGGGGAGGAGAACCTCTTCTGTTAAGAGAAATTTTAATAACATGCTGCGGCCATAATACATTTTGAGACGTGCCCAAAAGGCCAAAGATGCATGAAGGCGCTTAATATAGGAGAAAAATATTGGCCTAAATGTATGATATTTTTGCACACGACAAGCGGGTAGTATACTGTTGTACGTGAATACCTCACAATCCGCAGTGACCAAATTGACAATTTGCGATTCTATGGTGCCTCCTATAAGGGACACGCAAACGCAAAAATTTGACGTATACTTATCCAACAATTTTTCGTTTTTTACGTCCAAGACGTGAAAATCAACAAATTTGACGTATTCTATGCTACCAATTTTTCTTTTTTTACGTCTAAGACGTGAAAATCTAAAAAATTGACGTATACTCGGCTTTGCTTGGTAATTTTTTCATTTTTCTGTACTCAAAAATGGTCCTGAAAATCTGCTTGAAAATCTGCGTCCAATATTTACGTCTGCGTCTCCTAAAAAGGAAACGCAGACGTGAATATTTGACGTGAATTTTTTTCAGTAAGCTGAGCACCATGCAGGAAGATAGGCGCAATGGGTTTGTTCTGCTATGTTATAAACAGCTTTATCTCGACATTATTATTGTACACCATTTTATTCTATGTTATGGACTAACTTTGATATACTATAAAAGGCCTCGATACATTACGCTTTGAAATTTCTCTCTCTCTCTCTCTCTCCTCTTTCTCCTAATGTCCCACCACTCTCTCGATCTCCCCTTCTCTCGATATTTTCCTCCTTTCTCCCTCCCAATCTGTCTTTCCCCTCTCTCCTCTTTCTATCAAAATCTGTCTGCCCCTCTCTATTTCTCTCTCCCAATGTTCCTTTTTCTCTCTCTCCTCTTTCTCGTTTCTCTCTCCCAATCTATCTCTCCCTTCTCTCTCCCAATCTCTTTATCTCCCCCCTCTCTCTTTGTCTCCTCTTTCAACGTTTCTCTCTCCCAATCTGTCTCTCCCCTCTCTCCTTTTTTTTTCTCTCTCTCTCTCTCTCTCTCTCTCTCTCTCTCTCTCTCGAATTTCGAATACACATAGTACAGACAGAATGGGAAGGGAGGAAGGACAGGAGAGAGAGAGAGAGGGAGAGAGAGAGAGCGAGCGAGATGTCAGTGCATGTCCCTTCAGGGCCATTAATGAGTACAGAAAAACGAAAAAATTATCAAGCATAAAAATACGTCAATTTTGTTTTTTCACGTCTTGGACGTAAAAAAACGAAAAAATTGGTTGCATAGGTATGGTATTCACGTTTTGCACGTGAAAAACGAAAAATTTGTTGGATAGGTATACGTCAAATTTTTGCGTTTGCGTGTCCCTTAGGAGCCACCATACGATTCGCATAGATTTAGTGGCCTTATATTTCAAACACTAATAAATTTCTTCTTTATTGGTCTGAGTTTTTCAAAATTCGCCATTCTGTTCCACTTATTCTTCCGCTCTCCGAACAATAGTGAATTATTGCAACTTGAGTTCAAGAGTGTTGTAACCAGGGGCGTCGCTATTGACCATTTTTAGTACATGGGGGGGGGGGGACAAAAATAGCCACCAATTACCGACAAATATATATTTTGCCTGTTTTTATGTTATAGCCAATTTTCCTTGCCACATTGCCCCGAAAATGTATTTATTTTAGTCCCGGTGTCAGAACAAGTCACGCGCCTCTATAGACAATTGGACCGCGAATCCTTCATGATTTAGCCGCGGACCAAAAAAAACCCCAGTTTTTTCGGGGCAATATGTGGCAAGGGAAATCGGCTCTAAGGCCAAATCAAAAAAAGAAACATGTTTAGTGTCCTGCCTTTTTTCCTTTTTTTTCTTCAAAATTGCCGCTCAAAATGGCCGCTCGGTACATTTTTCCTGAAAGTCGGGCTATTTCTCAAGATGGCCGCCGGTATTTTTTATTTTTTAAATCAGAAATAGATCATTTTAGCAGTATGTTTGTCAGGTTTTAATTCATTGAAGAAAAAAAAATAGGAGGCGGCCCCTAAAAAGAAAGCGGGCGGGGACGCCATGTATATTTCTTTAATGGCCTAACATAATAATGGGCAGAAGGCGGCAGCCAAATCTGGTATCAACTTAAAGCTTAGATCAGAGAAAATGGTGTTGATAAAATTAAAGCGGAAATTTCTTGAAATATAAAACATGGGTAATTAGTCCATTTTCAGTGAATTAGGCCTACCCTATAACATATTATGAAGATTGTGTTTCTATCCATTTTTAATTTATGCAGTGAAATGAACTACAGTGTATTTTGAATGTGTGAGAGCAATTTCATTTCAATAACTTAAAAACTTCATGTTAAATTGAAAGATTTATAAATAAGTCACTTTTGCACTAAAACTGTGAATAATATAGGATTTTGATGTTTGAAGGAGTAAATTTATACCATTATTGTGCATACCGGAATTAAATATTTTACTGAGGTATTCTGAGCAAAAAGGAAAAAAAATCACCGAAAATGACTTTTGACGCACTGTGGTTCCTCCAGAGTCCCTGGCCCACTCCTGTGCGACGGTTCAAACTTCTGCATTAACATGAGGATCGAGCAAGAATACCGACACTCAGGGGCGTCTCCAAGGGGGGGGGGGGTGTGGGGGTGTGGGGGGGTGCGACACCCCCACTTGTCAGGATATTGTAGGTAAAATTGCGCTGCCGTCGGGGAAAAAGAGAAAAAGGGGAGGGAAAAGAAGAGAGGGAAAGGGAAAGAAAAGAAAAAAAAGAAAAGGAAAAGAAAAGAAAGAAAGGAAAGAAAGGAAAAGAAAGGAAAGAAAAGAGAAGAAAGAAAAAGAAAAAAGAAAAAGAGGGAGAAGAAAGAAAGGAAAAGAAAGAAAATAAAGAAAAGAAGAAAAAGAAGAAAAAAGAGAAAAGGGAAACAAAAGAAACGAGGGATGAAAGAGAGGAGAGAGAGGGGAGGTAAGAGCCTGAGAGAGGAGGAGTGGGAGTAAAAGAAAGAGGGGGTTGTTGGGTGGAGTCGTCTCGTCGAGGGAGCAAGAAAGACACGGGTAAATAGGTTGCTGTGTCGGGTCAGCTGTGTCGGTATTCTTGTTCGATCCTCGTGCATCAATGCAGAAGTTTGAATTTTGTGAGATGTATATATTGTCGATCGGCCGACAAGTTTTTTTCCTACGAACTGTTACTTTTTATCCGCTGTGACGATGAGTACAACTACAATACTTGTATTTTCTCGAAGTTTCACTTTCCTATAATATCAGCTAAAGAAATCAGAGGTTTAAAATTTTCGGGGAAACTAAATTCAAACAAGGATTAAAAGTCAACAACGGTACGACGAAACGTCTTCCTGTCTCTTTATTTTGATGAAACGCCAAAAATTCCGCGCTTCGCGCGGGAGGGGAAACTTCATTTAGACGAGTCGAGAACGGTACAACGAATCGTTTTCTTTCTCTAATAATTTTAAGGAAACGTCTAAGCTTCCGGGATTCGCGCGGGAGGGGGAAAACTGAATTCAGATAAGGATTAAGAGTAGAGAACAGTACAACAAATCGTTTGCTTTCTCTTTAATCCTTATCTGAAACGTCAAAGCTTCCGCGCTTCGCGTGAGAGGGGGGGGGAACTGAATTCAGACAAACAGGGCTATAAGAGTCAAAAGCGGTACAACGAATCGTTTGCATTCTCTAATAATTTAAGGAAACGTCAAAGCTTCCGCGCTTCGCGCGAAAGGGGGGGGGGGAAACTGAATTCAGATAAATAGGGCTTAATAAGAGTCGAAAACAGTGCAACGAATCGTCTCCTTTCTATAATGATTAAATCAAACGTCAAAGCCTTCGCGCTTCACGCGGGAAGGAGGAAACTGAATTCAGACAAGGATTAAGAGTCGAAAACGGTACAACGAATCGTCTGCTTTCTCCAACGTCAAAGCTTCCGCACTATACGCGCTATTAAGGGGGAAGCTGAATTCAGACAATTAGGGCTTAACAGTCGAAAACGGTACAACGAATCGTCTTCTTTCTCTAATAATTTAATGAAACGTCAAAAATTCTGCGCTTTGCGCGGGAGGGGAAGAAACTGAATTCAGACAAGGATTAACAGTTGAGAACGGTACAGCAAATCGTCTTCTTTGTGTAATAATTTAAGGAAACGTCTAAGCTTCCGCTTCTAAGGCCTATCCACCCCCTCCCCCATGAGCGCGCTTCGTGATTCGCTTGCTCACTATATACCGCCCCTCCCTAAAATAAGATCCTAGCTCCGCGCCTGCATGCATTAAAAGATATGGCTATGATGCTGATTAAGTTGACGAAACTAATTCGTATATTCATGTCGTCGAGGAAAATGACCATTTTGCGCATACGCAAGTACTATAGATAGTCCATACAACAATTTAGCCTTCGGCCTCGGGTTTATAGGGTTAAATTTGTAAATATTGGGACGTTTAATTATGTCGGTAATTGGTGGCTAGTTTTGTCGGTAATCGTTGGCCTCTATACATGCACCCCCCCCCCCCACTGGAAAAGGTCTAGCGACGCCCCTACCGACACTGTTTTCTGCGTATCTGTCAGTGCTCCCTCGTCGAGACGACTCTATGAACCCAACATTTATGGGCCTACTCCCACCCCTCCTCTCTCTTACCCACCCCCCCCTCTCTCTCCTCCCTTAATTTCATCCCGTTTCTTATGCTTCCTTTTTCTTTCTTTTTTCTTTTTTTTCTCCATTTTCCCCATTTCTTTCCTTGCCCTCTTTTCTCTCCTTCCTCATTTTTCTTCTTTTTTCTCGTTCTTTCCTTTCTTTTCCTTCATTTTTTCTGTCCCTTTCCCTCTCATCCGTCTCCGATTCCCGACGGCAGCGCAATTTTTACCGACAATATCCTGACATGTGGGGTAGAGGAGTGAGGGGATATCGCATCCCAACATCTACCCCCCCCCCCCCCCAGCGACGCCCCTGGTTGTACCGATGATTGTGCAAGTTGAGTGACTCTCAAAACTTGTTTAAAAAAAGGCCAAAATGTTGAACAAAAATGAATGTGGGACTCGAGCAATATTGGCTTAATTGACGTAAGACCACTCGAAATTTATGAATGAAGTTCGCGCGCGCGCCGTGAATCCTTTCGAATACAAATCATCTGGACTTTTGACTTTGGAATTTGGTCTCTACTATTTTTAGCCTGAGAAAAAGATGCACTGCTAATAATCTCCCTATATGATCGTTTTTTATACACATAAGTGAACATACAACTTAAATACGAAGATGGTTGCCATCCTTGCTTTCTCTTACCCTATTTTTGTCTCATTTCTATTATTATTATTATAATTATTATTTTACTACTCGGACGGCTATGAAATGAGGAAATCTAGCAACTCAAATTCACCGTGATGACATCACCTGTATGCATACCATCCCAATGGTAATCCCTGGTTACCGAAACGTCATGCACCTTGATTCCAATAAAAGGAAACCCCTCACTGAGAGTAAAGGCGAGCAGTTCATACAACGGTAAACTGGCTAGAGGGAAACAAAATGTTATTAAATACTTCCAAAGATATACTTAAACGTGATCTTAAAATGATGAAAAAATTACTACTAATTTTTTATGTTTAATATGATTACTTCTAATGCCAAATAAACAGCTCTAATACAATGAATGGAAATGGAGCTTACATTTGTGTAAGGCGTATTAATTTAATATTCTGATTTTGAGTGATACGGCACTGTTCGCCGCCATTTTTACATTCTGCTTCTCACACAGCGACGACGCCCGATATATTTTGCGTGTATTAGAGGATCTAAATTTCCTATTTGAGGAAAAATACAGTGTAGGAGGAACTTGGCAAATTGACAGGGCGCAGTCAAAATTCTACAGACTTTAAAGAGTTTTACAAATAGTTAATACACTCTACCAGCAGTCATGGACATGGGGGATAACACTAAAATCAAGAATGAGCTAATTCACAAGGCAAAACTGGCAGAACAAGCCGAGAGGTACGATGACATGGCAGCTGCAATGAAGAAGGTGACCGAAATGAAGATGACGTTGTCGAACGAAGAAAGGAATCTGTTATCTGTAGCATACAAGAATGTTGTCGGAGCAAGGCGGTCATCATGGAGAGTTATCAGCAGTATTGAGGCCAAGGAGAGTAATGCCGACGGTTCTTCAAACGCACAGACCATGCAGACTGAAAGGAGAAAGGTCTTGTCAAAGGGCTACAGGGAGAAAGTAGAGAAGGAGCTTGAGGACATCTGCGAGCAGGTTTTGGTAGGTAGATCTAGATGAGAGCCTTACCGAATGGGGTTACCCGTCCTGGCTGTGTCACTTGTGTGGAGTGTTGTGGGTTGTGAAGTAGTGCGGTGCAGCCATTGACAGACTGCGCGTTGCGAATGGCATTGAATGATCGAGTTCGATGCTATAGATTCTAGACTAGGCCTACATGACCAGGGGCAAGAAGAATAAGATGGTCCCCACTTGATCTAACACTTGGACTAGTTACTAAGTCTCTTGCCTAGCTTTACACAGTCGTAGACCATATGAAATAGAGTTCCAAGTAGCCTAGACCTCTAGGGCCCAGATCTATGAATTTAATCCATCAACTGATCAATCAAAGGCATCACCTCAGTATCACCATGAATTTGATCACCAACTTAGGCTACATTATTATGACATTCAATGTTAATGCACAGCCCAGCATGCGATAGCGGTGAATGCAGAACACGTAAGGTTTCTTTAGATTGGTGCCGCCTCTGTGCAACGAGTCGCTTGCTGCCAGTTTACAGTGCGCACCGTTTGAAGAAACCGAGCGTACACTGCACACAGGAAGGGAGTCTCACGCCACCACGCTCATTCTCCCGCCATACCACCAGCTCGTAGCAATTTTCCACACAGCTGCGCCAATAGTGTCATTTTTGTATTATAAATGTTCACTAGACTCTATTATTATTATTCCTGCCACCACGCCCTTTCTCCCGCAATCTCCCGGTTTATGAATTTTTTTAAAAAAAAACGTGTAAACGAACCAGCTTACTCGTATTGTATAGATATTTTTTGCTCAATGGGGGGGGGGGGGGGGGGGTAGGATAGTGAGCACTTCAATTTTTTTCTTACTCGACACAATACATTCTTACTGAAGCACAATACAATACATACTGTCCGGATGGTTGGGTGTGTTAAGTAAGGGACTGCAGTCTTGGTTTATGATCTTAACTTGACTTAACAATTGTATTGTGCTGCAGTTTGCCGTGAATCCTGTGAGAAAGTGCATATTATAAGTCTTTGTTTTTAGGAAAAATGCTCCGAAAAAGATAAGATTAAGAAAATTGACACGAAACAGGTAATAAACAATAAATGATGACCTTTATTTGGACATTTGATGAATATTTACTTCATTTGGGTACGTTTTAGTAGGGTATCTCCACGCCGGAGTTACGGATTAAAGTTTGGATAGACTTCTGAACTAGCGCCGATATCCCTGCGTGAAGAGTGATATAGATCCAAACAAAACCTAAAATTAGGCTAAAAATGCATTTTGCATTTTGCAATTGCCCATTCCTGCACCCAATAAACCTTGCAAACCACCTTGGATTTCCTAATCCTACTCCTAGTCCAAATGGACGAGTTCTTCTTTCTACTCTTACAAAGCACTTTGTAATTCGTCAATTACCTTTCAGTTTCATGTGATACGTGTTCCTGATGATATGATCAACATGTGAATTAACAATGAACTAGTCTACACTTAACAATAACATTAACATTACAAAAACGCTCAATTTTCGCGAGAGATGGCTACGCACGAAGAACCTTGCGCATTGAGTGCTGTACAGTGAGTTTACGCGTTCTCATTGGCCAATCCGCTCGAGTGGCTTTGAATTTAAGTGAAAGAAGGCCTACTTAACTTAGCGCAACTTAAGTTCAATGGCAAAGTCAATACGTAATATTACTTCACACCAAAGAGATTTTGACACGTCCTGCTTTAAACAGAGGACGCACTTCACACATAACTGACGCACACACAGCATTGCAAACATATATGAAATAGAAAAATCAATGGACATCTTAGAATAAATTTCCAGTTTGTACCTTAAAAAAATTACTTAACTGAAAAACTTACCGGTAAGTGAAAAAATCATAACAAATAGGGTCTAGAGGGTTTGACTGAAATATCATAATTTTGGTATCCAAAAAACGGGAAAAATCGCAAGCTTGATCCTCGCACAGATATCTGACAGCGTTAAGTGAATGGAGAACAGCGATAGGCAATGTGGGCCCATGTCGGGCTAGGCTAGGCGCAACTTACGAAAATGAGGCCGAGATCGGATGAACGATCTGCGCATGGGCTAATTGTAAGCATTCTACGTGCCTTGTTGATTCTACTGGAAATGCAAATAGTCTACACACTGTTTTATTGCGTTGTAAATTGCACATTGTATTCTTTACGGGTCAGTTACTTAAAGGTTTTTTATTGTACTAATGAATTCCTCCTTGCATGCACATCTCTTTACACTATAAACCAGTAGTAAAATATCCTCTGAAATTGAAATACATTTTATGTATATGAAGTCTATGTTTGTGAATTTAAAAAGAAATGGAAAACTACTGGTAATGGTACATGTACATTTGTGTAGACCAGTAAGCAAAATTGAAAAATAATAATTGTTGGGGATGGCACCTTTGCACTCATCTGCAGCTTCAGTTATCTTATCTGCATAGGGGACACCTTGCTGTGTGTATTTATTATTTAGGCTTGCACATCTTCATTCTGTATACAAGGTTACTTCCCTTATATATTTAAATTCAGGATTTTCTATGTGAACTTTTTAAAGTGTGTCTACTGTAATCCGAAATAACAGTCTCAGAACTTCCCGCACTGTGTGATCCTATTTGTTCGAGAAAAATTAATATATATTATACACATTCATGCTCAATTCTCATGTGTAAACGTTAAATATAATTTTTCCCATTTTATTTCACTTCTTAGGAATTGCTTGACAAATTTCTCATACCCATTGCTGAGAATGAAATCAAGATTGACAAAGACAAAGGCGAAAAAGATTCACAGAATGCAGATAGCCATGTTTTCTATCTTAAGATGAAGGGAGACTACTACCGCTACTTAGCCGAGGTGAAGAAGGATAGCAAAAAAGATGGTAGGTATTTTCTTTTATAGGGCTTTTCCAAAGTATTTCACCTTGAGAATTTATGGGACAGTCTCTGTCCAAACAAAATTCATTTATTGCAAACTTGTTTTTCTTCCAATGTTTTGGTATGTTCTACATCCAGAGCACAACTTTAAAAATATGTTTAAATAGACAATTTTTTACAAAAAATGAGATACAAAACATCTAAAAAGAAATCATGTGCCAATCAAAACCCCATCAATGGAAATAAATTTATTGAATTTGTTTTGCTCAATTCAATTTGGTTCGCATTTTTGTAATAATTTCCTGATTGCAAACATTCTGCAAAGAAGAAGGTACATGTACCAGTATAATATGAGTAAATTTCAATGCAAAACAAATTTAAAAAGACAATGGAAACAATTAAACTCTGGAAGACTCCAAAATCCAAATGAGATCTGCTAAAAAGTAAAAACAATAAGAAGTACAAAAAGTTGTAATCAGTGAAACACCAATTGCCAACACTGACCTATCTTGCTGGGTCTTTTCCAAAATTGTATGAATTTTCATTTTCTCAGTTATCGATAATGGAATAGATTTGTTTCAAACAGGACCAGTACTTGTATGAAATATGCATACACAAATTTTATGGGGAAAACAATTTGAATGTTTTTTAGTACAGAGCAATTGGGAGGGAGGGAACCTCGCAAGATAGTAAGACACAGGTGTATGTCACAGAATTGCCAAATTATGTTTGATTGATCACAACTTTAAAAAAAAAAATCAGGGCGTTTCATGAACAATTCGTCAGTGGTTTTCACCGACCAATATCATGTTCACTGACAATTTAGTCAGCGCTGACTAAATTTGACCAATCACAGTCCTTGAAAATAGTCGGTGACAAAAGAAATTTGCTTAAACTTTACTGATCAGTTTCTCTCATTTTTCTGATTCTATTAAAACCAAATCCAATGTACATGTATATCAGGGTGGGCTTCTCATTAAACTGTTGCAATTGACTGTAGTGATATTTGGAAAAGAAATTTCTAACAAAAAAAAAACATGTTTTTGTTCTATCCCCAGAAATTGTTGAAAAATCCAAGATGGCATACCAGGCAGCAATGGAACAAAGCCAGACAAATATGGCACCAACACATCCCATCCGACTTGGACTGGCATTGAACTTTTCAGTTTTCTACTATGAAATTCTCAATCAGCCAAATGACGCCTGTGATCTGGCCAAGAAAGTAAGTTTGCTGACTGCTCTTTGACTGCCGGAGAACTTTCAAGATATAAGATTTTAATGTGCAGGCCAAATTCTTGCTAAATGAGGAATTAGTGGGATGATGCTGAGTAACTTGATATTGCTATTATAAAGTTGAGTATTCATGTGAGACCTAATCGGTCATCCTTGATGCTTTCTCTGCAATTTGATATTATATCAAATACATATTTACATACAAGCTATTAGGGACTAGTGGTGATGAGGGTAAGGCCGAGTCATCGCAGTTAACTATAAACCGGGGCCCGAAAGTTGTAAACCAGATTGGCCCCCGGTGCCCCTATAAATTTCTGCATGTGAGACGACACTATAGATTTTGCAAATAATTTATACATGCCTGAAACTTGGCAAAAAGCGGGATAGAAGATCACTTTTACTTAAGTTAAAATTCGTTGTCACATTTCATTCTCCCAAGAAAAGATCTTATTATATTCTTGCGTAAGACTTATCTATTTTTGGATACCTGTTTTTGAAAGTCCGTTTTGCTTTCAAAAGAGAGAATTTCTCTGAGTATTTTCCTGGAACATGTTGGTTCATATTAGCAATTGGCATTACAAATGTGAACATACGTAACCCAAGATGTTTGAGAAGAAATATATGACAGAAATTTACTATTTTAAACCAGGAAACCACACAAAATTGTCTCTCGTATCCGCATCTCTAGCTCTCTCGCTCTGCCACCCTATAATCTCTCTTCGATGCAGACTCCTGGTGAATGCTGCAAAGTAAACTTTTGCAATCGAAAGTGGATTTGGGATTGAGATTTGCAAATCACTCAAGCACCATCTGATCTCATTGTGAAAACTGTACTTTGAAGAAGAAAAACGTTGTCAATTTTCAGTATTCATGGCCAGAATATTCACAATCTATGCTTTGGTATCATACCTCTATTCTCAAAACTGTATTGATATTGTGGTAATGTTGATGAAACCAGATAGCAATTTAAAAGTTTTGCTAGGACGCAAATTTTGTTTTGCTATGTGAGCTAAGCTATTCTGTAGTTGATTCCACTCAAGAGTCAAGTCTCTTCAACTCTTGCGGTTCAGACAGCAGTGGCACTTTTGTTAGCTCCGTGTGTTTCGGGGTGGGCAGCATGCAACTGAATTTTCATCTTTTTTACTCAGATTTTCTTGTAAAAACTTTACTTTGCAAATGATTACCACAATTTATTATACATGGCCAGAATAATCACAATTTTAATTTCCCCTATTCTCAAAAACAATATATAAAATTGCAACAATCATGATGGAAATAAATCACAAAATTCAATTTCTCTGACTTACCCACAAGTCAAAGGATGCCTATTAAGTCGACACATTTTACTGACTTACGAGATCGACTTACGTGAGATTATCTGTATATGCTATTTAAATGTCGGTCAAAGGAGCGACGGCTTTCTGAAAACTCAAAATCTAAAGCTTTGAAAATCAGAAGTTGTCAACCTAAAATCTAGCTATCAACTTGATAACATCATCTTATGTGGAGTATGCATATTCCTAACAACTTTGTATTGAAGTAGACATAGCTCATCACCTCTGCTATATTGGACGGCCACATGTTAAGTCATCACTGTAATTGCAGTAAAAATGACCCCTGTTGACCCGTAATTTAGAGGGTTGTGGAAAGATTTTAATTTGGTTTTGTGTAATACTGGGTAAAAGACATTTTTTTTTCTCTTCCTTCAAACTTGTAGTCGACATTCCTCCAGCTTTCCGTTGATATAAAATTGTATTTTCATCAGATAGGGTCTTTAATTGATAATGTTTATGTATTGTATTCTCTTTGATAGGCATTTGACCAGGCCATTGCAGAACTGGATCAACTTCAGGAGGATTCATACAAAGACAGCACGCTAATTATGCAGCTACTCAGAGACAATTTAACTGTAAGTATGGAATATTTATACATTGGAACAGTTACCTGAAAATCTTTTTAGTCTCGTAATGCCTCTGTCTGTCATCAAAGGTGTTGGTTTAGGCTTTAGTCCAAAATTGCATTTAACAAAGGGATTTAGTCTGGTCTATTTTTTAATTTTTGTTCAACATGATTTGAGTAGAATACAGACCACTGTGTTTTGGGGTTCATCCTGCTTACATATTATACCATCATACACGATATACCAACGTAGCTACATCAACATGTAGTCCTGACATGTCAACATGGATTAAGTTTAAATTTGTTCATCCTGCTAGGACTAAGCAAGAAATATTAGTTTCAATAACTTTCCAGCTTCTTTCGTGCATAAAGATGATCGGAAACTGACCTTTAATATGAATAGCCAAATGATGTGAATCGGTTTCGAATTGGTGTTGGTTTATGGGTGAAGATAGAGACTGTCAGTAAATTGGTGAATAGTGAGAGAATGACCTTGTGTACATTGTTGCTGTAAACAATGGCAATGTTAAGATCATGTTTTGCATCTGCTTTGGGATATTCTCTTTAAAATGCTAGTATCTCTTCAGTGTCTCTATCCCTTTATTAAAATGCCATTACAAACTTCAGAGACGGTCATTAATAATGTGGTATTCTTACATACATACTGTATATGTTTATATATATATTTTGTGTGTGTCTTTCAACAGTTGTGGACGTCAGATAACGCCGATGAAGCAGGAGACCAAGAAGACCCCCAACAGTAAAATTACTTTAGCTGAATTATAGGTGTGCCATAAATGTTCTCATAATCACAAATAGTGTATCCAAACAAATAGCTTGGATAAAGCATTCAAACTCTTCAATGTCTCATTTACCCATTCTGGAGATAGAAAGGAAAGAACGAAAAGGGCTTGGTGACTTAAAAGGATGTGGAAAATGAGTGTTCAATGGTGAAGGGTGCTTATGTTGACGCATTGAAGACACCTAGTGTTTACATGTCTGTGGCAGATGGATTTTTGAGCCTATGGTGTAAGTTTCTTTTGCAACCAAATTGTGTCACAATCTTTTGATTGAGGAAAAATTGTAAACTGACAGTTGAACTATCAAATAATTCTGTTCGTTTCTGTAGGTATTTCTAAAAAATGAAGATCAGTCACTGTTCAGTGTTAAATGGCACCGACTCCGTGCCATGCATGTTTTTGTAGCTATCACATCTTCTGAAGGGTTCAAATTGTATCAAAGGTATACAAAAACTAAACTAAACAATAAAAAACAAATATGTGGAAAGGGGAATGAATTTAAAGAGCATCAGACTAGGTATGCATAAAGTACTTGCCTTTGTGAAACTTTACATTTTATTGTGTGCAGAGTAAGGATCTGGCCAAATATCAGCAGAGAGAGAGAGAGAGAAAAAAAAAATGTCTTTATTTATTTCTAGCAATCTATTTACAATGTACATGTCCATGTCTATGTTATTGCTAGATAGATTATTTTGTGATATTTTTTTTTGATGAAACTGAACTTAAAGGATTCCATGATGCATTTAATTGATTGTTTATTGCACTTTTTGTAATTGCCTTTGAATATCCCAGAACCATACACTAACTGTGGGTTAGGACTCGTATTTAATCTGTTTCCCTCTGTTTAGAATGGACTAATGCCATAGGAGATAGCAATCACCCATGACCCTTTTTATTTAATTTTTTAATTTTATCAATTTTACTGTTGATAATACCCCTTGAGGCAACAGTAGGAAACAAACTTGTTATGAGTTGGTTACTGCAGTATGTATCACCAATTGAGACTTCTTTGTAATTGCTTTTGTTTGAAGTGACAGTTTATTTGTAACCCTCCTTCAGTCGACCAACACTGCACTGAATCTCACGTTCATAGAATTCGAAAGGTGGAAATGTCTATTTTCAAAGGTTGTATTTTTGTTTATGCTGTAATATTGCACATCTTCCTGTGGTGCACCAGTAATATTCATTAGGATGTTTTGATACATGTCTTGCCCTGGAGGTTAGGTTGCATTTTGTCATTTGACTGAGGCTCTACTTGAACAAAACTTGCAATACATGTAAAGAGAAGATGCTATTTACGCTTGGCATCGGCACGAGGCGGTCATCCAATGGGAAGGATTAAGATGCAATTGACAAATGTACTCCAAGTGGGAAAAGGGAAGTTGACAGATATATGCATAGATGAGAAAATTCATTGATAGCACTCTACCAGTTCCTTTGCGATGCATTGGATCACATGTTTATTTAATATCTGTGTCGTTGTGAATGTTTCTGGTTCAATATGTATCGGAAATGTAGCATTTATGCATTTTTTTATTTGTGATAACAGATTTGACAGACAAGTGTAATTGAACTATAAATTGAATATTATGTTTTACTGTGTAGTAATTTGTGATATATTCTTCCTGCAGGGACAACTGTATTTTTTTCTTCATTTTCCCCCATTTGCCTTAGATATTAGGTTGTTAAAAAGGTGAGTTCTGTAGATTAGATAATTTTAGAGATTAGAATGCATTGTCTGAAAATAGGAATGTATACATATATGTACTTGTTCTGTATTGTTGCTACAGAACCGTCTCATGGCTTTGATAATCAAACCATCTGCATTTTTATTTTGCCTACAGTAATCGATGCATTGAGATATGTGTGCCATGCAGAGATGGCAAACATGTACTTGAGGTCCTTTCTACTCGTACTAAACCCCCAAATGCGTGCTTATTTTGGGAAATTTACAAATCATTACTAGTGATGTTAGAAGTCTATGGAACTTGTATAATTTAGATGAATTGCTAACAATGCATAGTACGTGTATTTTTGTCCAGTAAAAGAAATGCTTCCCAGGACGTATTCAGTACCAAATTTAAAGGATTTTCTTTTTCTTCTTTAAGATATTCTATCTTCATGTATTGTGTTAATATGAAGAGAAAGTTTGTGGTTGTCTCACAACTCCATTCTCTGTTAAGATAGAAATATAAACTCACAGTTATGCTAAATCGCTAATGATAATCATGGCCGTAAGCTATTAACAATTGAAGAGAAATGCATGCATTTTAAGCTGAAAAAAAGTTGTATTACCCTAACATTGTATCCTGTGAAACTGTCGTTGCACAGTTAAACAATTATAATGTCTGTTGTCTGGAAACTGCTGTACATTGTTTCGTTCTTTACTTCATGTTGTGAATGGAAGAGTATTGAGATAAATGATTGAAATGAGAGACTGAAAAAAGTTTTTTTTTAAGGTAAAAGCGAGTTCTGGTGATGAAATTTAAGAAACTGCCTGTAAACGGTCAGAGATGCAAGCATTTTGAATAGTCGAAATGATGCTGAAAATTCTATGCACTGCGCACAAATGATGAATTTGGGACCACCATGATTTATGGCACAAAAGTTTGGTCCAAAATTTACGTTTTTTTTCTTGTCACATTCTAGAAAACAGTGCATGTTTAATGTGAATGAAGAGCCAAAATTAAATGGATTGAATCTTTGCACAGCACAAAACGTACACCAATTTTGTACAAGAGTCTGAAAATTGGACTACCGGTATTACTAGCATGATTGCAATCACTAAAGTCGATTCGAAAACTAACGATCGTTATTTTCCAACTAAAAGACATTTTTAAGCCTTTTCGTTTTGAGGGAAGTTCAAAATTACTATTATCTTTCAAATGCTGTTGGAATATAACCTTTTGATTGTTGGGGCCTGCAAATGGGACATTGTACCTTTAAACCATGCGTTTTATATATAGAGAGAGAGAGGTAGTTTGGAATCTTGTTTGGTCGAAAGAAAGATTTTCCTTCTTATCAACACCCCTTCCCCTCCCACTGCCCACTGCCCGGATATGACTAAAGATTTTGACAATTACGGGGGGAAAAAATATCGAAGGCGTACATGTGCAGGATTTTATGATGGGAGAGGGGGCCTGAAACCATGCGCGCCGGAACTATGCCGGAACACACACTCTTGGTGCTCCCTCTAATTAATTTTCGACCAACTTGTCTTTTTTGGTTTGATTTGTTAGTTTTATCTGACTTTTAAGGCAGCATGTGCTTACAAGTAAGCAACCAGGGGGCCGACGCACAGTGGGCCAGGGACGAACCAAAGTGCGCCAAAACTCGTTTTTTTTTTTTTTTTTTTTTTTTTTTTTTTGTTTGTTGATTTTTGTTGATTTTTTTTCTTACAACTTTTGTCTTGCCCAGTTGAAGGTAACACATTGAGGAATACCTCAGTAAAATATTTAATGCCGGTATGCACAATAAGGGTATAAATTTACTCCTTCAAACAGCAAAATCCTACATATTGACAGTTTTAGTGCAAAAGTGACTTATTTCATAAATCTTTCAATTTATCATGTAGTTTTTAAGTTATTGATATGAAATTGCTCTCACATATTCCTGATAGTTTATTTCGTTGCATGAATGGGTTAAAATTAATAGAAACACAATCTTCATGATATACTATAGGGTAATTCACTGAAAAATGGACTAATTATCCATGTTTTTTTTTTTTATAAATGCAAAGAAAATGTTTAGATCTCCTCAGAACTCTGCTTCAATTTTAATACCACCATTTTCTCTGATGTCTAAGCTTTAAGTTGATACCAAATTTGGCTGCCCGATCTTGCCCGTTGTTATGTTAGAGCCGATTTCCCTTGCCACATTGCCCCGAAAAATGTGTTTCTTTTAGGTCCGCGGCTGAATCATTTTTTTTTGTTTTCAATGATAATTTATTTTCTCCATTGCTTTTCACAAACAATAACAAAATCAATACATAAAATAATCTGCATGTTAATATTATTATATAGAATATGATTTTACATTCACATCTAAATAATACAAATGAACTTTTACTATTTACATCAAATAAAGCATGAAACATGCATGCATGAAGAAGGCATGAACATAAAAAGACATTTAAGAGAAGAAGAAAAAAAAAAAAAAAAAAAAAATACTGAAAAATCATGAAGGATTCGCAGTCATAAATCACGGCGCGTGGGGCGCGCGACACACGTTCTGACACCGCGGACCAAAATAAACACATTTTTCGGTGCAATGTTGCAAGGAAAACGGCTCTATAACACGGGCAGCCAAATCTGGTATCAACTTAAAGCTTAGACATCAGAGAAAATGTTGGTAATAAAATTTAAGCGGAAATCCCTGGAAATCCAAACATTTCCTCAGGATTTATAAAAGATAAATCCCCCCAAAATTAGTTTTGCGCACTTTGGTTCCTCCCTGGCCCACTGTGCGACGGATCTAAGTTCTCAAAATTTCCAAAGAATAATGTTTCGAATTTTTCGTTATAAAGAAGACTTTGCATAATGTTTCCTCTTCAGTTGTTTTAAAATTTATGTTCGTTTTAGCATTTTTCATTGAAAGGTATTATGAGCATATAGAGTTATTATTTTCATAAGACCAAGACATTAGATAATAATATTTAAAATATAATTAAACTTTTATATTCAAATTCAAACTTTATTGATTTCAATCCAAACAGATAGGATCATTCTCAATGTTTGTACATTGGATAACACATTTCAAGGTTATAGTGTAACATGGATAATTGAGTGTAAGAATAAAGAGAAAAAGTGAAACAAATTAACATACTACTGCATGTCTCATTTGAAATGTAATACAGGGATGAAAACAAATTATATTACTCGTATTACTTTATCAACTTTTCCCCCTTTTCTTTTCAAATTATAGGAAGGAAACAAAATATAAATATATATACAACATGATAGTAAGACAATATACATATATGGTTTATGATTACCAAATTCAGATGATCGCGACAGCTCGGCCGTATTCCTATTCCAAACTCGTGGGAGACAAGGAGCATGGGAATACATAATGCATTTTACAATACTTAATTGCATTTAACAAAGGAAATTAGTCGGGTCTATTTTTTTTTTTTTTTTTGTTCAACATGATTTGAGTAGCAGGTCTTAAAAAGTAGGTTGTTAAACACTGCCTTTTAATAAAAGTTTTATGCCTTGAAGGACCTGCGACGTACAATTTATTTCATTTTTCTTTCATTTACTTCCATTCATTCTTCATATTTCTTTTTACCCCCACCCACTCTATTTTTGGTGGGGGAGGGGACTTAAGCCTCAAAAGCCCATCCCTGCCCAACTCCCCCCCCCCCCCCACCGGACACCCTAGTGAAAATACAATTGTGGCTAAATATGAAGAGCTTGATTCCAAAAGGAGCTAAATCCATATTTTACCAAAATTGAGTTTTATGTCTTAAAATAATGATTTCCTACATGGGGACAAAATGCACTATATCACATTTTAAAATGTTACCAGGAAGTGTGAAAAAATTTAGGTACAATTATCATGTTTCATTCCAAAAGGAGCTAAATCCAAATCGGTTTCATTCCAAAAGGAGCTAAATCCAAATCGGTTTCATTCCAAAAGGAGCTAAATCCACTGGCCTACTTCTGAGTAAATCACCTTTTGTATTCCTCCACTTTCCCTTTAGCCATCTACATTCATGTTGATATATATATATGTTAAAGGTGTCACCCTGGACCAATAATATAAGAAAATAAATCTACCAGTTACTTCTGATTTTTATTAAATTCCTTAATCCACGATAATAAAAACAAATCTAAAAATTTAGTAAAAATCAGACAAAATGGTAGATTTTTTTAAAATCATATATTATTGGTCCAGGGTGACACCTTTAACATATATAACAACATGAAGGTAGATGGCTAAAGGGAAAGTGGAGAAATAAAAAAGGCGATCTACTCGGAAGTACCAAAGTGGATTTAGCTCCTTTTGGAATGAAACTCTTCATAAATGCAAATACATTATTGCACAGGCTTGCAATGTCAGTGTGTGGCGCAACATTATGGTATGGAACGCCAATTATTCTCCCATTGGCCTCAAATTCCTATAACGCTTCCTAGTTTGCTTCTCTTTACTTTTTATTCTCCTAAATCTGCTTCTTTCTTATTTTCTTTTCATAGCCAAGATTACGGTAACGTCTCTATCATAAACGGGTAGGGATGGGGTGGGTGGTTGGGGAAGAGAATTTTGAATGTTGTTCGACGTTAGTCAAACAAAATTAAGAAGCCAAGAAAATAAAATACATGTAATTAGTATAATAATGAGTTTAATGATAATATAATGATAGGCAATAATGGTGATAAAAAGAAAAAAATAATGACAAATGAACGAGAAAAATAAATAAATAAACAAATGATTTAACGGACAATTAACTGAATAGATTAAAAGGTAATAAACACAAAAGAGCAATGAATGAAAAAGATGCAATTATGCCAAAAGTGCTGACAAGGCTCGAAACTTATACTCCAATCGTGTCCTGACACAAAATTGAGGAGATAGGCTTATGTTTGGTTTGGATGAGGGCGTGCCGGCTGAAACCTCCGAATGTACGATTACTGTGGCAGAAAAGGTTAGGGGTCCATACCCATCCTAAGCATAGGCGCCGGAAGTGGGGGGGGGGCACTCGTCCCCAACCAAAAAAGTGTGGGGGAGGGGGGGCAAAACGCATTTTTGGCCCCCCCCCCAAAAAAAAAAACAAACAAACAAACAACAACAACACGCCCCCCCCCCTCAAAAAAAAAGAAAAGAAAAGGAGTAAAGATGGTTTGTATTTTTAACCCAAAAGAAAATACCGATAATAAAAACCTGAATTAAATCACATAGCCTACATTGCGCATGCCTTATCAATGGAGGTTTTTATAATAGCGATACGCGCATATCGTGGACATATCGTGAGAGAATAGGAAAGCGTGTTTGCTTTTTTGTTGTAGGGGTGAGAAGACATGAGCCCCTGAACACTGGCGTACTGATGGGGGGGGGGGGGGGGGGTATTTCTTATTCGATACCAGTGATTTACAAATGTTGCTGAAATAACATGATTTTCCGGTATTTTTTCTCAATTTTTTTGTAAGTCATACCTTTTCATGCGTTCGTTGGAAAATTAGAAATTTCAAAATTTACATTCGGGCGAAAAATATGCTAATTTAGAAGCCTTCATGTCAGGGCCTGCAGAACGGCTGGGCTAGGGGGTCTCGAGCTCCACCTCCACCCTTACTTTTAAAAAGTATGTTACAGAGAAAAAGAAAGAAAGAGAGAGAAAAAAAAAATTAGAGACCGTGCCAATGTCACAAATAATTTAATGAGGTATCAAAATATGCCCATCTGACCGTAATTAAATGCCTAAAACCCCAGAGCTTCCGGGTTTTTTGCCCCCTGGACCCCATCAAAGGCCCTAAGGCGGGCCCCCGGATGCATCTAACCGTAATTAAATATCTAAAACCTCTGAGCTTCTGGGGGCTCTGCCCCCTGGACCACATCAATGGCCTTAAAGAAAGCCCCTGGATGCTCATCTAACCGTAATTAATACCTAAAAACCCCTAAGCTTCCGGGGGCTCTGCCCCCTGGACTTCCCACCAATAATGACCTGCCAGTGTCACAAAAGGTATTTAAATATGATTATCTGACCGTAATTTAATGCTTAAAAACCTTGAGCTTCCGGGGACTCAGCTCCTTGACCCCCTGCCGGGACCAGCATGTAACATGTAAGAGTGGTGGTGATGCAGATTTTTCTTCTCCCCCCCCCCCTTCAAACGTTTTTGCTCGTTACGCCACTGCCCCTGGAAGGTGAGTCTCCTGGAAAGTTTGCCCCCCCCCCCCAATCCCAAACTGCTTCCGGTGCGCCTGATCCTTAGGACGTTAGATTATGATTATAAAGCAAAATGATCTGAATGATCTTCCAAAAGAAATCCTCCATGTTATGATTTTCATAGGCGAACGAGGCAGTGTGGCCAGGCGCGGATCCACGGGGGGGGGGGGGGGGGGGGGGGGGGGGGGCTAGCCCAAAAAACTGATTTAAAAAAATGGTAACGTTAATTTAACCTTTTTAAAACAAAAAACTAAATTGGGCCCCCCTATATAGCAAAAATATATATACATATATTTTTTTTTCGCCCCCCCCAAAAAAAAAGAAGACTGTTCCTTCCCCCCACCCACCCCACTTATCCATCGGCTGGATGATTCGCTGCTAAATATTTCCTCACAAATATTATTGGACAAAAAAAAGTGCTCTTGCGCGCTCTCGCGCCAGGGGCGACGGAGCGCCTTCCAAAGAGGGAGGGCACCAACAAAAAAGGGAACTTTCTGGAAAAAAAAAATCTTCTTCTTTTTGCTCGAGGGAGGGGGGGGGGGTGTTAAGTAAAATAAAATAATGCTCACTACCCCCACCCCCCTCTCGTTGAGCCCAAAAAAGTGGTCATTATCCCCCCCCCCCCCAGCTTATTCGACGCTAAATGTTTTCTCACGAATTGGGCTCCCGCCGGCTGGATGCGCCCAGGGGCTAAGCCCCACGAAGTTCAGGGGTCTAAGGCATTTACTTAAGGTCAGCTGAGCATTCAGATGCCTTAGTGCTCCAGTGGTGGGGTCAAGGGGGAGGAGCCCTTGAAAGCTCAGGGGTTTTAGGCATTTACTTACGGTCAGATTGCAGATGAGCATATTTTGATACCTCATTGATAACGTCGTCTGTCTGACAGGTCTCTATGCTTTCTTTTTCTCTTTCTATTTCTCGATTCGTTGTATCATGTCCTTGTTTGAATTCAGTCCCCCCCCCCTTTCGTGCGAAGCGCGGAAGCTTTGACGTTTCATTTAAATATTACTCTTAATCCTTGTCTGAATTCATTTTCGCCCATCCCGCGCAAAGCGCCGAAGCTTTCACGTTTCATTAAATTATTACTATTAATTCATTTTCGCCCATGCCGTGCGAAGCGCGGAAGCTTTCACGTTTCATTTAATTATTAGAGAAAAAAGCAATTCGTTGTATCATGTCCTTGTCTCACCCTCTTCTCTCAGGCTCTTACCTCTCTCTTTCTCTCTTCTCTTTCACCCCCCGTTTCTATTGTTTGCTTTTTCTCTTCTTTTTTTTCCTTTCTCTTTTTTCTCTTTCTTTTTCCGCTTCTCTTTCCTTTCTTTTCCTTTTCTTTTTCTTTTCTTTATCCCTTTCCCTCTCATTTCCCCTTCTCCTTTCCTCATTTTCTCGACAGCAGCGCCATTTTACCGCCAATATCCTGACAGTTGGGGGGGGGGGGGCGCACCCCTCACGTCCCCCTTTAGCGACGACCCTGGATGTTATCCTATTATTCTTTTAAAAGAAATGCAATTCCTCATGCTCTCGCACCTCTCTTCTATTGTTATTTACTTCTCTTTCATTTTTTCCTTTCTCTTTTAACTCACAAAGATTCTTTCTTCATTCCCTCTTTTTTCCATCTCTCTTTTTTTGGTTTTTGCCTGGCAAGAGGGACCCCATATTATGCACACTGCAAAATTGCGTGCCCCGCCCCTTTCCAGGTAAAAAAAAAAAAAAAACCTTCTTATAATATCATCCCCCTTTTTTCATTTCCCTCTTTTTCTCCTCTCTCTCTTTCTCTCTCTTCCCCTTTTTTCTTTCCTCCTCTTTTTTCCCCTTTCTTTTTTCTCTCCTCCCTCTTTTCTTTTTATTTCTCTCTTCCTTTTCTTTCTTTTCCCCCTCCCTTTCTCCTTTTCTCCCTTTTTCCTCTTCCCCTTCCCCCTTTTTTATACCCGGGGGGCGCGGGGGGGGGGGGGTGCACGTGCCCCTGTGCCCCTGAATCCGCCACTGTTTATAGTGATAAGGCCGGACCTTGAATACTGCGTTGAAAACGAGCACGTACAATGTATAAAAGGGACGTATATAAGTTCGGGGTATTGTGTAGAAAAATTTGTAACTGTATAATATACTCGTTCGTTCGTGTCTCCTTAGATCAAGATAGTTATGTAAAGTTTCTTAATTAAAATTGAATTAAATTAAATCAAATTAAGTTCTTCCATACTACACAAAGCTTATCAATGGAGAAAGGAAAATTGACAACTATAACTTGGGAAACTTGTATTTATATTACTTGAAAGCTAAGGAACTTATCGGAGGTGAAAAAGGGACATTTTATAAGAAGGGGAAGGACACAAAAAAAGGTAAAGATGCACTTATTAAAAAGGAAAAGGGACACGTGTCTAAATGAGAGTGGCATTTATTAGAGTGAAAAGGGACAATCGTCAGAAATGAAAAGAGGCACATATCAAAGATGAAAAGGGGCACTTATGTGAGGGGAAAGGAGGCACTAATTATCAGAAAGTAAAAGAAGCACTTAACAGAAGGAATTTGAGCACTTATTAGAGGTAAAAAGGGCGGTCAACATTGATAAAAAGGGGCACTTATTAAAAGAAAATGAAAAAGGGGCGCAGTACACTTTTCAGTTAACACTATTTTTTTACCCCAGAAAATTTGAAAATCGCGCCGGCTGATATTTCGGTCAGTGAAGGGGGGGGGGGGGGGGGGGTATGAGCACTGATGTTTTTGCCCCCGAAAATTTGAGAATCGCATCCCCCCCCCCTTGAGGACAAAAGGAGGGGGTCCGTCTTTTTAAAAACAAATAAAGGTAAAATTAACCTGTTTTTTTTCCCAGGGGAGGGGGGCCCCCTGGATCCGCCGCCTGGACCCGGTCCCTCTGCCCCCCCCCGGTAATTAACGCACCGCCTCTGGCTCGAGCAAAAAAATGGAGAAAATGAAGTGTTGATAAACTTCGGGCAGATCGAGACGTACGTAGAACAAGCAGCGTCCCCCTCCATATTGTAGATAATTAAGAGCGAGGGAGTAGATTTTTTTTTAACGAATGCTAGATCGCTGTTCATGCTTGTCAGTGGCGGATCCAGGGAGGGGGCCCCTCCCTTGGGAAAAAAAACAGGTAAAAACACGTTAATTTTACCTTTATTTGAAGACGTACAGGCCCCCTCCCTGGTGCTCATAAGGGGGGGGGGTGTGATCTGCATTTTTTGGGGGGCAAAATTATTTACCGGCTGGCCTCCTCCCCTGCCGCCGGCTGGATCCGCCCCTGATGCTTGTTGGCTTTCAAAATACATTCAGCTAGCACTTCGGCTTTCCATACGTTGACTTGCAAACATGGCGGAAGACGAAGAGGTTACGCTCACCACTGAGCAGACAGAAAAAACTGCTGCAATTCCAGGTAAATCTCCGACTAATTTTATATTTATTTTTCTTTTAAACAAAATTTGTATTGCATGGTGTGTTGATTGAACCTTTCGTTCATTAAAATGCTTAAAACACTACTAAATGATCCATTATTATGAGGAATTCATGGGGGAACTAGAAATCTACTCGAGCTTGGTATCGCCTGTTAGATTGTCGGTGTTGACAAAGGTAAACTGAAGCAGGGAGCTCCGCAGGACGGCCCCGCCGGACGGACCAGCGCCTAGACCAAGGCTAGCCTGGCCCTAGGGCCTTGGGCTTGCTGCTGATAATATGAAATTTGATATTGATATTACCTAGCCTTAATTACCACCCAAAAAGTATCGCTTTTCCATTAAAATTTTGGCAACTTGTAGAGAAGAGGCAGCCCTTAATTTTGCAGCAATTTGCGTTCGGATGCGATTAGCATTTTGTTGCCAGTGCCAAAAAATCAAATGTCGCAAACACAACACAAACAGATGCTTGTGTTTATATGTCAAAGGCAGATACAGATACAGATACCCATTTGCCTTTATGAAGAGTGATGTAAACAAAACTTCCAATGCGTACATAGAGTAGTGGCTCCGGTCTGCGGCCGATCGGCGGGAACTGCCGATTTATTTTTATTGGAATACTCACAGAATACTTCAATACCCTCAATAAAGAGTCCATATACTTACTTATTAAATAGAAGTCACAAATAACCTAACTGACCCACAGCGTGGTCAGCATTGACCATGTTTCGAAATGCTTCGAGTTCCCCGGTTTGCGGGCACGCATTACCGGTTTGCAGCACGCGTACGTCACAAAGCTTTATGCTTTATGTTTTTCCTAAAAACATACACATTATAAACAATGTACACTTTCTCACGGGTTTCACAGCAAACTACTGCACAATTCAATTGCATACCGTACCGACGGTGGGGTGTGGGCCCCGCCTGTGTGCGTGAAGTTAGCGACTGTAACGACAAATTACTTACATGAATTTAATGAGGATCTGAGATTACAGTTGCTAACTTCCCACCATCGGTACGGTCAGTGATTTGCTGTAAAACCTGTGAAAAAGTGTATATCATGATGTCTTTGTCAAACAAGACCTTCGTAGAGGAGGGGAATTGTTGATCTGTCCTTGCAAGTGAAAGATTTACGTATGGGAGCTAGTACTTCATTCGCTTTATTAGCAGCAATTGCAGATTGTTGATAAAATCTGAGCTTCTCATCGAAGACCACAGAGGTCCTTTTCTTCCCTGTTTTTCTTGGATCTTTACACCATCTAGCTTTATCCCTTCGTGGATTGCCTGCCCGTAGGTGCAGGGTCTTACATTTGTTTGCATTGAAGTGGAGCTGCCATTTCTCTGACTAAATTAAATTAAATCCAGAATGATTTTCACTTCTTATCATGCTCATTGAATAAATAGAGGTGTATATTTTGTTATTGCTTAAAGGTAAATACCAGTTTGGAAACGGCCCCCTCTCAAAAAAAGGAAATAGAAGCTCTCATTACCAATCATGTGAAAGAATATGTTTTGACTAATATGTGATCACACAAATTTTGCCGCGAAACCGCCTACTAATTGATATATTTGGTAAATTATTATATCTATTTGGACCTGATAGATATAACGCATGTGTCGCGCATGTGTGCGTAGTCCCATATACATCTTTCTGTGTACAGTGCTTGTAACTTTACCAAGACTGGGCCAAATTTCATGTCATTTTGATGATTCCAGAAACTTGCAGTATACACCAATACTTATTTGCTAGATGATCAACCTTTTCTGATCGATTCAACAATGTTTTTTTCCTAATGCAATCGCATGACCATAACTGGTCTTTATCTTTAACATGACGGAACCTTACAAACTACCTATGGAGGTCACTAGTGGACTCTCCTTTCTTTTCATACAAAGCACTTTGAAATTGGTCAAGAATTTAACAAGAAATGTGGAAATTGTTTCTGTAGTGATTTACTTACCTTACACATGTTCCTGTTGATAACGAACTAACATCGGATTTATATTACAAAAATGGTGACCTCTGACGAGAGTTTGCAATGTCGGTTCTGCTGCAAACGTAAATATGTGCGCTGTACATGAAAATACCTGTTTTGGCATTGCCAACTTATATCACCATACTAGGCACAGGAACACAATCTGATTAGATTTTGGGGTATTAAAATACTAAATTTGCTTTGAAATCTCTGGGTTCTAGCCCAGTTATCGCAATGTCTCGAGAGTGATATGAGTCGTGAACTTCAAACTTTGTATTAGTTTGCATCACCATGGTAAGATACATTGATTAGATGTTGGTAAAGGAAAGTCAAATGTCAAAGGTTAGCAAGTCAATTTAAATGAAATTAAAGGTTCTTTAACCTTGCTATGATCTAACCAGTGACTATTTAAGCTATTTTAGCTGTGATCTTAGAACCTCTATTAAACTAGTATGCACAAGTTATCAGATTTGGGGATTGTCAGGTCAAAGGTTATAAAAATCAATCAACTCACTGTAATATGGGATTTTAGTTCTCATTGTGATATTCCAAGAATAATTAAAGAAGGATCTTAAATACATTTTGGTTGGGGCATATTGGAGAAGCAGTCACATTTTTCTTTCTCCCCTCCCCCCCCCCTTTTTTTAAGGTTGAAAGAAATACTGGTTTTCTCATATATATAGTATTGTGCAGTGGATATATGATGTATTTTGGACATGTGGCATCAGCAAGCTGATTCAGCATGTACATGTAGTACCTAGATTTATTTTGCCATGTCTATCCCATTGTTTTTCAATTAAAAAGATATCCTTTCTCCAGCACAAACCAACAAGAGGAATTCTTTTAAGAGATTTTCAAAATCGTAAAGGGAAAGTCTATGTTGACATAAAACCAGAATAAGGAGAGAAACAGATGCAGTATGTATGGTACATTAGGTTGCAGGTGAGTCTGCTGTATGTACAAATCAACCCCTTGTGGTTTTTTTACTTCAAAAATCATACTCATGCATAATACAAAGTATGATTCTCTCTCCTGAATACAGGATCTCACTGGGATTGAAGATATGGAGAGATGTCGCAACATTTTGGATCAGCATGACTGGAATATTGAGGTGAGTGTTCAGCTTGTCCATCAAATTTTATTTGTAATTGTTTAAAAAAAAAACAACAACAAACAAACAAACATATATATATTATATTTTATAGTTATCCAACTTGTCACTATGAACATGACGGACAAAGAAAGAGGACAAAATATACAGTTATTCATTCTACCCTCAACAATTGCTGTGGTAGACAAAGGAACATCCCTTCACTGCTATTATGTAAAAATGTGTAGAACAGGTGAATATGCATGTGGCATGTTCATAGTGTGTGCTGTACCATTTAGGTTATATTAACAGCACACTAACCTTTCATAAAATATTTATTGGAAGTGCGCAGTAAAAAGATAATATAAAAACACACACAAAAAAGAGGAAAATACTTGGGGGTCATGAATGGCAGGGAAGAAGGGGGGGGGGGGGTGGGAGGGGGAGGAGGTAACTGTTGGGCCACAGCATCATGACCCCCTTCCATAGATTTCAAGATCCAATATTCAGGCAACCACTTCTTTATATTTGGGCAGTAAATCCATTTAAGTAGATTTGAAAATGCCATTTACGTTCGGGCACTCCTTTGCATGCAGTGATAGCAACCAAAGCGCATCAAAGCAGAGCTGCCAACCAGTATGATTTTATCAGATTTCGTACAATTTTTCCTCAAGATACTATCCCCCCCCCCCAAAAAAAAACAACAACAACAAACAAACAAACAAACAAAAAAACATGCATGTTCATGGTGAGAAAGTACTTTTCAATCAAAAATGGGGTTTTTATTTTAAAAATAGCATTGTTTTGTGTGGAAAAGAATAGGATTTTTGTTCAGTTGCGGTTAGCAGCTCTACCTGAATATAAGAGGCTTTGATCCATGCATCAGTTCATTTTTGTTGTTGTTGATACAACAGTAAAAAACAACTTGTGGGATTAAAAAATACAGTTTTTGAACTCCAGAGGTTGGCAGGTTCATCACAGGTCATTCTACATGTATGTTGATTTGTTTCAGACTGCTGTCCAAGACACATTGAATGTATCAGAGGGTAAGCCGACAGTCTATGATAGGACTACGCAGGCAAGCCAGCCTCCAGTACGCACACCCGAGGTCAATACAAACCCTAGGGACCAAAGGTATGTTCAACTCTTATCCAACTTGCAATTAATAAAGATTGATCTATTCTTTCCTTTATCCTAACTTGATCTCTCTCTGTCATGCTTTTCACTCTCCCCTACTCTTTGCCTTCTCTCTTATTCCCTCTGTACGTTCTTTTTTTCTCTCTCATTTGCTTTCTGCTTTGTACAACTAATTCTCCTGACTATATATTGGAATAGTCCTTGCTCTTGCTCTCTCTCTCTCTCTCTCTCTCTCTATCTCTCTGTCATTCTCTTCCTCTTTGCTTTCTCTAGCTATCTCTTTCATCCTTCTATCTCTTGCTCTCCATCCCTCTCTATCCATACAATCTGAGTACAACAGAATGGCTTCAGGCCACCACCACTTTATCCCATAAGGTTTTTACTTTACATAAACAAAAGACAATTTCCGGTAACTATATTCATAAATTATCTTTAAAAAAGTTAACTTGCATAAACCGGAGCTAGTCAGAAGTAATATGAATAATTTCTGATGAATTATGTCACCCTATCGTCAGAAGGGTCAAGTCAGGTCACATTGCTGACGAAGGCGGTAGTTGACCACCTGAAAATTGTGAAGGTGGCTTAATATTTTATATCAAGATTAAAAGATTAACTTTCAAACATACGTATGACCAATACAGATGAGCTTTCATAATTGAAGGTTATCCTATCTTCTTTTCTCTCTCTTTCTATCTCTCTCTTGCCGACAGGATATTCACAGTAGCGAGGCCCACGTCCTCCTGGTTCCAGTGGAGTTACATGATGGTCTTCTTCCCCTTCCGTTTTTTCTATACCACAGTTTTTGATATTGTTCGATGGACACTAAGGTTGATTTGGCCTGATCCCAGGCGTATTGTTACGGATCCCCGGGGAGACGTTCTTTCATTTATCACGTCGTATGAAGAGAGATACGGAGCAGCCCATCCTGAATTCTATAGAGGCAGTTATAGTGAGGTAGGTAATACAAGTATGCTTTAGGCAGGGTCTAACAGTAACGCTGTGTTCAGACATGCAGCAGTAAAGGGTTTTTTAATAAAAATGTTGTCAGAAAGCGTAATGCGCTTCATATTACCTATCTTATAACACAAAGCTACGTGAATATGCGTAGGACATTTGTTGCGCACAGTTGCCATTAATTTGGGGTGGTTTTTTGCGACGTACCTAAACAAGCCTTAAGTGGGGCCCAGTTTGGTTGCATGACATGTGCTCTGGGGACAATTGATCTGCAGTCTTTATATCCTACTCTAACAAAAGTCTTTACTCCAACCCTGGACCAAATACAATACCTAACCTCAACCCTAGTCCGGGGCTCAAAACTAACAGGCGTCAAGTCCAGACCATTTATACACTCTCTAAAATGTTTGATCCAGACCCCCCCCCCCCCTCCCCTGCCCTTCCAAAGAAGTTAGCGTGGAGCCCAGCCTAAACCTAACCTAAAACCCAATTGCAACCATAAACTTAACCCTATTTCAATGAATAATTAAAGCCCAGAGCAGTTTTTAACAGAGAAATCATTGATGCAATAGTTACTCTTCACACTTAAAAATTGAAATTTTACCAAGAGCCTAAATGCACACAAACCCTTAGGTTTTCAGTCGGGGGTTCCAGTGGAAAAAAAAAGTGCAGAGAATTGTTATGATATTGTATGAGAAATGATATGGACCAACTGATCCAGAATTCTGGTGAAAGTATGTAAGGCATGCTTTACGGGTCAGTTTAAGATGAAAATTGAGTTCAATGAGTTCTGTGTTAATAATAATTGTAATAATACATGTATATATAATAATTTGGGTCTTATTTATGCAGGGTAGACATAAATACTACTCTTCTTGCAGACTTGAAATGATCACCCCAGCATTGCAAGATGCCCTTTTCATACACCTGGGTTGAGAGGGTTAAATGTGGGCAAAGCACCTTGTCCATAGATGTAAGAACAGAGCAAGCATTGAATCAGGGGTCCTCTTGGATGAGAGGGAGTGGGAGTTTCGTGGCCGAGTCGTCTAAGGCGCTTGACTGAAGATGCGAAGGTCGAGGGTTCAAATCCTGACACTGCACTAATATCCTTTGGCAAGATATTAACCTGCACTTGCTACTCTCCACCCAGGTGTTAAATGGGTACCCGGTAGAATGTGACCGTCATTGTTGGTCAAAACTTCTTTTAGCGTTGAGTAATGCCTGGCTTAGATGCTCCCCAGGGAGTGGAGATTGTGCACATAGTGTGTGCGGGCAAGCTCTGAATCCAATGACTGGGGTAATAGTATATCTGTAAAGCGCTTTGAGACATTGTATTAAGTGCTATATAAAAGCGGAATATTATTATTACTATTACAGTCGAGATCCTCCACCAATATACACGATCGTGTTCCCAGCCAGGTGGCATGGTATTAATGAGTTTTCTTTGTTTGCTCCTCAGGCATTAAGTGACGCCAAGAGAGACCTCAAGTTTTTATTAGTATATCTCCATGGTAATGATCATCAAGATACAGACCAGTTTTGTAGGTGAGTACGATCATGCTTATATGTGACTTTGAGTACATGGTGAATACCAAAAACGATTGACCTTCATATCTGTTATCAATGGAATATACATAAATACATTTACATAGACTTCAATGCAAAAATTGATAAGTAACTTGGGTCTAAAAACAGTGGTCTATCGTCTATTGGATACTAAAAGGTAATACAAAGTTCTGGTATGGGGTCATGCATTTGGTTCAAATGAACATATTGGAAGCATATGCGATCCAACAATATTCAATGATCGTTATCGCAGTTGAAATCGAGTGTAAAGAGATGAAATTGTGATTAATAAACTTTTTATGTTGTATAGCTCCCTCTCACGATTGAGCTTTAGCTTCATAACAATGTTTCTTGACTAAAATCGACCCATATTTTATTCCCGTTTTGAATTATATATCCGAACTGCATATTCCGAGATTGTCATGGTTGCAGCTATCATTGTATGGCAGTAGGCGCTATTTGAAATTTATCGGGAGCACAGATAAATTTGGTATTTTAATTTCTTGAAATCCTTAGCGTTTTAGAGCCCAATTGTGCAAAGTTGCTCATTCTAGCACTAGGTTTCACGATGGTAATTTAAATTTTGACTTCCATCATCCAATCCTGTTGAAATATTACCAAAACTTGTATTACCTTTAATATATCAAATACTGATTCAAAATTCAAAACATTTTCAGAGATTTGGGTCTATGCTGTTAGACAAACTGATGTAGAAAACCAAAGCTTTCATTACACTGAGAAATTATCAATTTGTATGAACTTAAATTATAGGTGATGTTAAAGTTACTTACATACATAGTGCCTTTAAAACAGAACTATATTACATTAATGTATTTTCCTTTGCAGAGACACGTTAGGTAATGCTGATGTCATAGAGTTTATCAATGCTAGTCTTATATTTTGGGCTGCGTCTGTCAACTCACCGGAAGGATATAGAGGTAAGAGTGTATTGCTTGTTTATTTGTTTGTTGGGGGCCTATTTGGGGGTGCTGTGGCATTTTAGCTGGATTCCCTAATTTTTTTTGCATACATGTTGAATGAATTGGAATCTACAGTTGGCTATAAAAAAATAAAAAAAATTTAAACCATTTTTTAGAGAAAAGAAATATTGAAGCATTAAAAACTAAGAAATATCAGCCCAAAGAGGGAGATTTCCAACCGACTGACCCATGTTTCGGCACCTAAAGCGCAATACAACATCTTTTTTTTTTAGGCCCCATAATCATTCACTACATTGCTCATAGGCCACTGATGCATGGGTGGGTAAGGAAGGGGATCCTTTTAATCTGTTTTCTCATCCCGTCCCCTCTCCCTCTTTTTATTTCCTCTCCTACACTCCTATCATTTTATTTTTCTTTTTTTTCCTCCTGACATTTTGATCTCTGAACTTTAACGATTGATGGGAACACTTTGTTTTTTTCTGACCAGTATCATTAGCACTTCGAGAGAACACCTACCCCTTCCTAGCCCTCATCGTACTCCGGGACAACAAAATGACGGTGGTGCTGAGGATAGAGGGCGCCGTCAGCGGGGAGTCGTTGATAGAGCGAGTGCAGCGGACGATGAGTGAGACCGAGGGTTACTTGGTGGCCATGAGGATGGGGCGTCAGGAACGGAACCTTAACAATACCCTGAGGCAGGAGCAGGATGAAGCCTATAGGGAATCCCTTCGGCAGGATCAAGAGAAGGTATTGTACAAGGTTTTATTTTCATGATTTTAGTGAATCACTCGTGCACTGATCGCAAATTTAACAACATGTGACAGGGATGCCAGAAAAATCGCCCCAAATGACCATTAACCCTTACTGTACTGGGCTATTTTGAGCACCTCGTGACGGGGGGAGGGGGGGGGGGGGGAGGCCCCCCCCCCCCCATGATCTCGGCGGTCGAAAGTCTGTTGTACGCGAAAATTTGCATGTTTGTAGATATTTACGTAAGGAACAAGATGGTATAATTAGTTTTTTCCAAATATGCTAATTTTTGTTGTTATAGCCTAATTAATTATGCAAAATGCTAATTTTATGCATTTTACAGAAAACTCTTCATATTTGTCTGTAAACTTGTGAAGAATGTTAAAAATGTATTGAATAAATGTTTCCTTCATCTCATATTCATGAGGTTACATTATTTTTCTGATATTTGAAAATGCATAGGTTAATTTGCATAAATTATGAATATGCATTCATGAATATCAAATCTAGAAATATACAGGGAACTAGAATCATTACAAAAGTTGTCAGACTCCACTTTTGAATGTTAATTGAAACCCATTATTCATATAAAACTTTTTTTCTAACACAAAATAGTTATTTTGATTTAATTAATAATGATAATTTATGCAAATTTGATGCGATTTTCAAATATTTATTTTCTTTTGTATTTTATTGTTTTTTATTTCTTATTATATCTATTGTTTTATTTCTAATGTATTCTTTTGTTCTGGAATACATCAAGTTCCTTTGAGAAACATATAAAAAGCAATTTGATATCAATTCATAGTATTCACATTTCTGCTTGTACATGAATATATGCAATTATAGCATATATTTGATGACATGCGCATACTAATTGTTACGTAACACCTTACAGGTATATCCGATTTCGACGAAAATGGTATCAAAATGTGCGTAAGACTTGAGGGAAAAAAGTCATGCAACGACAATTCAAAATTCTAAGCGGTTGCAGCGCAATATACAAAAATGTTGAGGAGGGGGCCTCCCAGGCCCCCCACCCCAGTACAGTAAGGGTTAAAAATGAGTAGGGGTTTTGAGGCTTGAGCGGCACACGCCCGTCCAAACCGACTCTGAGTATCTCCCCCCCCCTCAGGCTTCGCCCCTCTCGTTCACTTTGCTCCCTCGAATTTTGTTCCCACACCCCCCCCCCCCCCCCCCCCAGTCATGAAAAGAAATTGCTGCCCCTGATCGCTACTGTGTGTGCTCAACAAATTGGCACAGTCATGCAAAAAAGGTCATCTTTGGTACAGGGTTGAAGTGAGGGATTAGGTGAGTGTAGGATATTGACTATGCTGGAGCATGTGTCATCAAATTGTTTACCACACTACCCTTGAATGCCTAGCTATGTTTGTAGAGGTGTCGTGATCTTGTGGATACATCACTGGACTGTGGATCACAGGTTTCATGGTTTTAGTCCCGCCACGGCATTAATTCTGCGGCACTAATGTACTTTGGCAAGACATGAATCTCCATTGGCCACTCTCCATCCAGGTGTTACATGGGTATGATCTGGTAGGATGCGAACATTAATGTTGTTTGACTGGCATGTGTGAGCTTGTAAAATGGCACCTGGCCGGAATACTCCCCAATAAGTGGAGCTTGTGCCCAATCATGAATCCAAATCTGATCATTATCCCCTCGGTCGGTACGTCTGTCCATAACAAATCTGGTTTCCGTTTGATAACTTAACTAATGTTTGACAGATTTTGATGAAATTTGATATGCAGGTACATGGTATCAAAACACAGCCTAAGTTTGATTTTGGAGTATGTAGGCCTAAGGTCATAGCTCATTAAATATGCAAAAATACTTAATAATACATATCTGAAAATGTGGTTTTCATTCAATAACGTAAGTAATGTTGTTGAGTATGTATGTCAGAGGTCACAGCTCATTAAATATGCAAAATTAGCTCAAAATAGGCCATTTGTGCCTGGCGAGGGGATGTTACGCCTTTCAATGAATCGTTGTTATAATTACTCTTAATCTGTTAATGTTATTTCTGCATTGTAGGCCAAAAAGAAGAAAGAAGAGGAAGAGGAGAAGAACAAACAAGAGCAGGCGGAAAGAGAGCAGGAGGAAGAGAAGCAAAACCAGATTGAGGTAAGTCTAAACACTTGTCCTTAATGTCCTAATCTTCTGGAGGGTATATGGAAGAAAACATTTGCAATAAATGTGTGGGAAATACTTTATTGTATAAACTTGACCCCTACTATACTTTACTGTGTTGTGTTGTCTTGCCTCATTTGATTTTGGCCTGCCCTGACCTGTAAATGCCTTGGATTGTGTTGCATGATTTAAACCTGTAATGCTCTTTATTATGATCTTGACCTATACAGTAGGTGTACAGTGAAATGCTTTGAAAAAGAATCCTCAAGGGAGACAAGAAAAATGGTCTTTACAGGGAGGTGGTCTTTATGTACAGGTTCTTTTAGTACAGGTTTCAATGAGAACCAAGGCAAACATAACATGTGGTCTTTAGAGACAGGCGGTTGCTTATTATAAAGTAGGTTTGACTGTGTTCTTTTAAAGGAATCCGGTAACTTTGTCTCAGATTCTGAAACAAAATCCTGGATTTAGCTCAAGCTGCAATGATAATTCTAAACCTTTAGGTCAGTCAGGAACCCCATTACTTTTACAAGTCGATCGCCTGTCTGATTATCAAGATATTTTTGATTGAAAATTGAAATAAAATTTTGCATTGGCCAAACGGTTTTCATAACACTACAGTCTATTGGGGAAAACGAGTATGGTAAAAACTGGTCACTCAAAGGTTTTTACATTTTTCTGAGGCCCTTTTTTTTTTTAGGGCTTCAATATAATATCATATCACAGACACTGATAACACGTAGAGCCGTCCATCTCAGATTTAACATTGTTAAACGATCCCTTTAATCTTGAATACCTAGGAGAGAGCGAATCGTAGGATAGAGAAAGCAGCCCTCCTTCCTGATGAACCAGATGCTAGTAACACCGATGCCGTTAAGATCCTCTTCAAACTTCCCAATGGCAGACGACTTGAACGGAGCTTCCTCAAGACATGCTCATTAGAGGTATGTATCATGGTGAAGTTCAGTTTTATTGATCATGAACAATTACATGTCATAGAAATCATTTTCCGGCTGTTTCTCAATTTATATAACATCAATTAACATACATGTACTATCGATTTATACAAAATGCAAAATCAGGAATAAATACAACACACAATAGAACATGAGAACAGAATGGTAAAGGCTTTGGTATAGAAACATAATAACACAAATTACAACTGTAGACATACCAGAGACCACTACTGGTGATATCGTTATACGGTTAAATAGGCAGATTAACAAAGTATAAATAATTGTGCAGTACATCCATATATCCTAAGTAACTGATTCTGCAACTAATAATTAACAATTAACAATTACCTCCTGAACCTGTCATTGTACAGTGTCATGGCACTCGAAAGTATGCTTTAGAAATAATTTACAACTTTGGACCTAATTGTGACGATATATGTTTGTTTAGTCCTGTGTACATATATCTATGTCCAGTGCTTTTGATTGTTTGTGATTGCCGGGAAGATTTGGTGAATTATATGATTCTAAAATATTGTAATACACAGTTGTTTCTATTAAAAAATATTGTTCAAATATTGCACGCTCCAACGTTCAAGTTCAACACAACAAGATACATGAACCGGACAATTTTTTTTTCTTCCAGAGGTTACTTTTGTATGCGTTCTACGTATGTGCTATACTGCACTCTCGTGCACATATAACAAATTGTTGAGTGTCACATGACACATTGTCAGTCAATAGGATAATCCAGAAATATCCCGTTTTATACAAACAACTATTCTGATTACTTCATGAGTATATCTTTCAAAATACATCAATTGATTGCCTGAATTTGCCACCTAGGCAAAAAAGGCATTAAGAACAGTGTTATAATCAGAATTCAAAAACACCTGTAATTAAAAAAATGAAACCTAGCCTGTTCTGTAACACCACTTCTATACACTAGATAAAATCCTATAAGTAACTGTAACATGTTATGCATTTGTTATTATTGTTTTTTCCTCTTTTGTTATCTTCTCTTGAAATTGCAGGTCCTTTATGATTATGTATATGTCCAAGATGAAGTGCCAGACGAGTTCCAGCTCCAGACGAACTACCCTCGCCGTGTACTCCAGTGTTTACCGACCGAGGAAAACGAGACGGTGCCCTCTATAGGTGATGCAGGCTTGAGCTCGCGTGAGATGTTGTACGTTCAGGACATCAGTGATTAACAGCTTGTTGTTGCGTTGTATGCTGAAGTGCGCCCTCGGTGTCATGATGGAGATGGAGATTGAAATATGGACTGAATTCCAAGCACGATACGAAGCCTGGGAGCTGTTCGCATTGGATATATTGAGCAAGAGTTGAAAGCCAGCGAGTTTGCCTGTTTCTATTTGGCATTGCATAGTTCAAATCGGCTGAACTATCACTGCGATGTAAAGCAAGGAGTTTGCATTGCAGGCTGGGGAGGGAGGTTGCATGTATCTATTGGCATGGCATTGTATCTCAGTGCTATTTCCCCCACCTTGTATACACTACTTGTGCAGTACTTGTACGAGCATTGCAAAGAACAGTTGCAGAGAACAATTGCAGAGATTATTGCAGAGCACCTGATTTTGGGGGAGAGGACTCCAATATAGCTTTCACAATCGACAAGAAAGTTTTAAAATATGTCTGTTGTTGTTAGTGTTTGGGATAGGATGGGATGAAAGTGGGATATTGCTGGAGGCAATGTGATGTCCAGTATGAGTGCTTCTGGCTTTAGATTCTGAAAAGAATTGGTTCTTAACAATATTAAAGGAATATGATGGTCATGAGAGTGGATTCAATACTGTTATTGATCGATTACATTCATGCTTTATTAAGATGGTTAGGATGTTGTAGGAGACATGTGACTGCAATAATTGCTCTGAAATGATCCACCATGATTTATGTTGATACTATGTGATACTTAATTTGAAACGAAAAGGATCAATAAAACGTGAAATTCAAAAAATAAAAAATGCTCTGTGGTGAATTCCTAATTTTGCCAGAGAAATGAATTTACTGGTACTTTAAAATTTGGATTGCCTTTCAAAGACCCCCCCCCCCCCTCCCATTCCTCCTGAAATGCTGTCTTGCCTTTATATATCCGATAAGCAGCAATTATTATGTCAATGTTTGTTCTAAGTTTGTTCTCATGCTTGCACTTCATAAGGCCTTCAGATTATATTGTGATAACAAAAGCCAGAACACTTGGGGAAGCTCTTCAAAAGACAGTAAACTGGCGCAAGTTTCTCAATGACAAATTACAAAAATCAGTGACAAATCTGCTGATAACCAATCAGAAGCAAGGATTTAAGTAGCTTATAACAACAATTGTTATTTGTCACTAATGACACATTTTGTGAAATGCCCCCCAGTACAGTAATATATTTGCTTTTTCCCTCTGATTTGAGCTTAGAGTACATTAGAGCCTCCTATGCACATGGGACAGCAAAACTCGCTAAAAAAAAAAAATCTGTTGTTAGAAAATAAAATGGTGTAGGCAAAGTGTGCTTCAAATATTTACCTTATAATACAGGGATATGTAAGTTTGTTTATGGGCCTTGGATGCACGCATCTACTGTTTTTGTTTCATTTTTTTCATCCCGTTTGCCGTCCATATTCCTGCTAAATGTTCAATTATTTTATTGTGCCAAAATCAATAGTATCTCGTCCAATCGATTGTAACTTTACAATAGATAGTGAGTCATGTTGATTTTATGTCACTGATGTACACAAAGAGTAGGAATTGATTTCATCTCCCCAATAATCAGTCAATCATGACTTTACAATACATACATGTGTAGTGGCTTTACATATATGTAAATGAGGCATTATCTCTCTCCTACTAATTGACATGAATCTGACATTGATTTTATGGTACATAATGCATTTTTGCATATTTCAATTGATTGCAGGTCAGTCTAATATGTTACAGGGCCAACAATACTTCATTAACTTATTATAGGAAATCAACATTTGTATAATGAGGCATTATCTTTTTTTCAACTTACTGATATGAATCTTTCCTGGGCACTTTGCATAAAATTGACCATTGATAGTAACTATGCAATTAATGGTAAATTCCATGGTAACCATGATTCAATTGGCTGTTGAATGATGTTGCCATGGTAATTACCATTGATAGCAAAGTGGTGCACCAGTCACACGGCCGAACCAACTACACACCGGCCCCAAACCGCCAAATTTGTTGGCAATAGGGAGTCATGTAAATGCTTGTCTGATTTGTAGTTGGTCTGGAGTCTGTCTGGAGTTGGTGTTGTTGGTGCGACTGATGTATTACCACCAATGATAAGTTGTATGCAACATGGCCCAGAAGTTGGTGTGCTCTCATGTTCTCTGTATTCCTTTTCAGCTGCTCAAGGTATTTTCTTGAGCATTTTTTTTCAATCCATCTTCTGTATTGTTTACCCATCGAGATGCACAAAAAAAAAATATTGTTCAAAAGCACTGCTTAACTCTCATTTAAAGGGATAGTTGAGTTCTTGTTTAAGACCCCAAATGCCTTCAAAGTGCATGGTTATTGCACTTATTCTTATTTATGACATTTCTAATGCCCTTTTAGCACCTAAGATTGCTATGAAGGTAATTTTAGATCCCAAAATTTGTGAAATTTAGATTAAAAATACGATCATACCGATTCAGCTCCACTTTAAAAACATATGGTGACCGTTAATTAATTAATAATAATGCATGGGCCTGGTTGTGCGTATTATGACCTACACGAAAAAGCCAACGAAAAGCCAACATTGGCATTGGCTGGAATAAAACGTATAAAGGGCCATCTCGTTTTTTTAACGGCTGGTTCAAAATTATTGAATATTTGTGGGGCCCTACGAATATTAAAAATGGTTATATTTATGGATATTTCAGCCGTCTCTGCACCGATTTTGATCAAACAAAGACGATTTTGTCATTTGAATTGTATGTTCTTTCAAATTTGACACTCATCTTTTCACTATTTCACAAACAATTATTTTGTGTAGCGCCCTCTGCAACAAAACTCAACTATCCCTTTAATGTTTAACTGGTTTTGTCAAGCATCATATTCCTTACTAAGTATGTAACTTGTGAGACTTTCTTTGTATTTTTATTAGTGTCTGCAGTAGCAAATTTCTCTGTTATATTCATTTGGTGTGTGTTGTATGTGAACAAAAATGATAGGAATAAATGTAATTGATTAAGAATTTAAAAACATTATTAAGAGTTAAACGTAAAATGAGAGCACTTTGCATCTCGATCAGGATAGCAACAGATTTAGAAGTAAAAAAATACACCGTATTTCAATTCTTAACATAATGAAATTTAATCGAAGTTACAAAATGTTGAAGATGATAACAAAAACCGTTGAAGTTACGACTTTGAGCAGCAAATCAAGGCTTGTATTGTGTTCTTCCCTGCAAATTGTATGTGCCTCTTATTACATTTTATTTAATGAACAAAATGTTATATGAAACACTTTTAACTAGTGCTAAATTTACTTAAGTATTTCCAATTTACAAGTGCAACATTTCATTCAGACCTCCAATCCTCTTTTTAAGGTCTATCTTAATTATTTGTGATGAAGAATAATTTATTAAATCTATAATTTATGCAGATAAGATACAAATTCATATTTAATGATGTTACCTATAAAATGAAATACTAATCAATGTGTAGGTTTCATAGAATATATTTGACAATCTTAGTATTATTTCGGTACTAAAGTTTCTCATATTCTATCAATTTATTATATACATGCATTTCATTTGTTTTGTTTTGTATACATATGTTTCTTTGTTTTGTATGATTTTCTTTTTTCTTCGAAAGATTGTATTTGATGATTTAGATTGATTTCGTAGTGCAAACAAAACTGGAATGGGCCCAAAAGACAGAGGTATATTGTATGGGGATAATAAATAATATCAGCATTTGTTTAAAAAGATCAGATTGCAAATTTGTGAGTTTTGTCCCACTTTTTAGTGGATGTGTTATTTCAAAATGCAATGTGACCTTATAATAGATGGCCCTCTTATTTTACTGAGTTAATACACGTACAAATATTGTTAACATTTGTAGGAGAGTTTACAAAAGCTAATGAAAACATGTTTTGCAATATGTGGTGATCATGGGGAGTTGAGGATTTTATGCAAAGGGTGGGGGTCAAATTATCCCTCCCCAACCCCCCTACTCATCAGTCAGAAAGCATTTAAAGGTGAACTAATAAATTAATCATTTAAAACAGTAATGATTTGTTGCTTGTATTAATTTCATCAAGGTTTTGTTGGCATTTTGGTAGCTGTTGTCACAAATGCTTGAAGTGATTTTTTAAATACTTAAAAAAAAATGCTTTTCCGTTTTGGTTTTGGTTTGTTTATTCTTTTGTCGAGAGAAACAAGAAATGAGACACCTGTTTTTACAAGGTCTCGCATATTGGTTCAGGACAGATTTTCAAAGATTTTCAAAAAAATTAACCCAAGTCAATTTCACTAGCCTTGGCTATCACTTTTTTTATAAAATGTATTAAAATTACAGTGACATGTAATTTAACCCAAACATGATGCTATAGGCCTTCTTTCCTTTTTCTGGCTTTCCTCCAAATATCCGGATGAAAGCTAAACTTTTAGGCCCCCTTTTTGTACCTTTTCAGCAAGTGTATCTTGCCCGTACTACTGTATAGCTACTAATACTTTTCTTGTTTTAGGGGCTAACAGTAAGAAGCATTTCATACCTCTAGATTAAATTTATGGGCATCATCATCCTAGCTTATTTTGAAACGATAAATATATTTAGATGCCAGAGTCATCGAGTCAACAAATTTAAGAGTAGTTACTGGTTCATATATAAGGTTTGCGTTTGAAGGTTAGCTAATTAGTATTTTTTTTAAATCATCTTTCGTTTAGAAATATAGCATTTTCTTGGAAAAATGCAATTTCTAATAACAAGTTTCCCCTCTTTAACAATAAAGTTTCTAGGCCCTGTTGCATATAACACATGCTGAAATTCTTTGACAAATTTGCTCTCAGCCAATCAAATAAATGATTCGAGTAGCTTATAATAATCATCGTATCCTGCTATTAATAACAAGTTTATTGAATTTGGGCCCGGTTGAGGACTAGAAATTTGAGTGGCAATATAGATACTGCGTTACGAAACGTGAAATAATCGAAGGATTTGTTTATGTTATCCAATATTCATTTCTGTGTTGAATATGACACATATTCTGCTGTGTTGGATATAAAGCATATTATTACTATTATTTCTAATGAATTGTATACTCGTCAAATCACCGTGCAAGATTTGTGGCATCTTCTGGTTCATACCCGGTCACACCAGCGATATCGATAGCAGACCGAGCTAAAGATAGCATTGCCTCTGAATATTGTCTAACAATCGATCGGTTTGGAATCGGTGTGGCGTCCGTTTGGCGGTGTGACTGGCCAAGTAAGCATTATTTATGTTTGCACTCTCATTGTCATCATAAGCACTCTACAAAATTCAAATTAATAGGTGCTTAAAATAAATATTGTAATGTATCTTTATAATGTACTTTTGCCTTAAATGCTATGAACGTGTATAATAGCTAATGCTCCGCTAGCACCATCGCCAAAGTCCAGCTTAAAGCCCCACTGCACTACTTATAGCTACTTGCGCCCTCTATATATCAAACAATGCCTAATCGGTGACCATTGGTCCCCTATGACCCTCTTTTTCTTATGTTAATTGAGAGCTGATTTGATGAGATAACCACCTGTCAGTGACCATGCAGGGAGGTCTAATCCCTCCTGGCCAAACTAGTGCAGCGGGCTTTAAATTGATCAATATGTGACCTGAAACTAAGCGGTACTTACATAATTCAGGAGCTGTCAATCATTCTATGTCTTGTTGTTGTTGATGTTGTTTTGGTTTGTTTCGTTTTGTTTTTACTTTGTGTGTTAATATGATAAAATGTTTTTTTAAATGAGTGTTTTGTGTCACAAAAGTTAATTTAACCTTACAGTGAGACTTATGATGCTATTTATGATATTTATGAATTAGACGTTACTTCATGAGGCAAGACATATTATAAGGTTGAAAGGTGTTCGAGATGATTAAAGTTGTTCGGGGTGACATTTTATGATTATTGTTAGAAGTTGTAATAAAGCATTAAATCGAACCTATGTGCAATGTTTCCTCGATGAGTGATTTGTCGTTTAGTGTAAAAGATTGACCATGATAAAAATCAAACCAACATACAAAAGTACATACAGAAACGAACAAACAGAAAATAAAAGAAAACAGCGTTATGTTCAGATTGTGATAATTATCATTTGGCGGTGTGCGTGTGTGTGTGTGTACTTAAGCTATGCCAGTTGGGTTTCAGAAAGAAAGGCACAGGCCGGTTGGCTGGGGTTAGTGAGCACTAATTTTTTTTTTGGCTCTCGAAATTTTGAAAAATCGCACCCCCCCCCCTACCATGAGCGCCAGGGGGGGGGGGGGCATCTCAAAAAAAGGTAAAATTAACGTGTTTTTACAGGCATGGGTGTCGATCCCGGGGGGGGATGGGGGATATATCCCCCCCCCCAATATTTCAGGTGGGGGGATGGCCTGTACAATCATCCCCCCAAATAATTCACCATCAACAAAAAAAAAAATGAAGAGAAAAATTAATGATGAGAGCCCGATGAGAGTAGTTACTCGCAAGATGACCATCAATATACACATTTTGCTATCTCATTTTCATAATAAATACATTTATAAATAGAAAACGAAGTAAATGAGACAACCGTATATGAGACAAGAATAGATTGAATTCTCGCTCATACGGCTTCATCAGGAATTGATGAATTTATTCAATTTATTCAATCAACAGCATCATAGAAATGCAGTGCGCCAAATACAAAGCCGCAGCTTTAAAAAACAACGAGCTCATTTTCATAATAAATACATTTATAAATAGAAAACGAAGTAAATGAGACAACCGTATATGAGACAAGAATAGATTGAATTCTCGCTCATACGGCTTCATCAGGAATTGATGAATTTATTCAATTTATTCAATCAACAGCATCATAGAAATGCAGTGCGCCAAATACAAAGCCGCAGCATTAAAAAACAACGAGCTTAATGTTGAGCGCGAAGCGCAAAAGTGCAAAAAGAAGTAGAAAGTGGGAGAGAGCTAATGAGAGACAGAGAGGATACAGGCGCATAGCCAGGGGGCGGTAAGGGCGGTCGCCCCCCCCCCCCAAAAAAAAAAAAAAAAACGCGGGCCAAAAAAGAGAGAGAGAGATAAAGAAAGAAGAAAGGAAGAGGACGTAGAGAATCGTATTCTTTCTTTAATAATTTAATGAAACGTCAGAGCTTTCGCGCGTAAGGAAGGGGAACTTGATTCAAACAAGGATTAAGAGTCGAGAACGGTACAACGAATCGTATTCTTTCTTTAATAATTTAATAAAACGTCAGAGCTTTCGCGCTACGCGCGAAGGAAGGGGAACTTGTTTCAAACAAGGATTAGGAGTCGAGAACGGTACAACGAATCGTCTTCTTTCTCTAATAATTAATGAACCGTCAAAGCTTCCGCGCTATGCGCGAAGGAAGGGGAACTTGATTCAAACAAGGATTAAGAGTCGAGAACGGTACAACGAATCGTATTCTTTCTTTAATAATTTGATAAAACGTCAGAGCTTTCGCGCTACGCGCGAAGGAAGGGGAACTTGATTCAAACAAGGATTAAGAGTCGAGAACGCCCGCCCCCCCCCCACTCAGTGTTATTTAGGGTACGCATATGCTCGTTCCCTCTTTTTGAAAGCACCCCCTATCTGATGACTGCCAACATTTCCGAACCCCCCTTTCGCGGGCTTTTCGCGGGCTTTTCCTGCCTTGGAGACCCCTCCTAAATCAGGAAAAATGCTCAATGTACCCCCCTAAATTCTGAATAACTTCTCAGGAGTCCAAAGAGATGAGAGAAAAAAAAGCAAAAACACCCCCTTTTTAAAGAAATCTCCGGGTGAAAAGTCAAATACAACCCTTTTTTTACAATGCTCGGGCCGGACTTTGTCGCACGAAAAGCACCCCTTTACCGGATATTTTGGCAACACGCATGCGGTCATTCCGACCCCTGAGTGGGGGGGGGGGGGGGCGGGCGAGAACGGTACAACGAATCGTCTTCTTTCTCTAACAATTAATGAAACGTCAAAGCTTCTTCCCTGCACCCACCCCCCGGGAGCGCGCTTCGCCTGCTCACTACCGCCCCCCCTAAAATAAAATCCTGGCTACGCGCTTGAGAGGATAATAACCCAGGTAGCAAGCCCATGTGGGACCCACATGGGTCCCATATTCTCTGAAATGTTATCTTTATTAAGGGTGACTTTTAAAAGTTATTAGTTGGTAGGGAGGGGGTGCAACCTGCCATACGCTTCTACCTCTTGGTTGCTTTGATCCATTGCCGAAAATATTTTGGCGCCTATCATCCCCCCCCCAACCACGGATACAAATCGACACCCTTGTTTACAGGTATGGGTGGGCATTAAAAGACATCGTCTTACTAAGGAGCCCGAAATTGATGTGATTACATGTGATTATTATCGGGTTAGGTAAGTTTCACATCTAAATTCTTCCTCCAATTTGAAAATGGATTTTTGAAATATCTTATGAACTCGACAAATCTCGTTTATTAATCCATTGCGACTTGACGTGCGTGCAGTGTTTATTCACTAATGCAGTCGCAAACATGAATTATTATATAATACTTTAACTTGATTAAACTTCAAACTTTAAAGACCCTTACAAGAAGTGAAATTCAAAATATTAGACCTACCATAATATTTCTATATACTCTCTCTGTTCAGAATGCACCTGTCAACATCCCTCACGGCACCCAAATCTTATCTCTCTGGTTCTCTCTCTCTGTCTCATTTTCTCTATATAAGTCCGTCTTTATCTCTGCCGCTTCTCTCTTTTTCTTTCTGTCTCTTCCTTTCTCTCCGTATGCCTGTCTCCGTGTCTGCCACCAACGAATCCTTTCCTCCCTCTTTCGATTCCATCTCGTCATCTCCCTCCCATGTTCATGCTTTCCCACCGTCAACTTTGGTCTTTTATATTTCATCTATCTTGTCTTTTACCTTTTAACCTTTTCTCCTTTTTAATACCCTTGGTCTTTATTCTTCTTCTTCTTGTTCTTCTCGTTCTTGTTTTTTTTTCTTCTTTTCCTTCTTCTTCTCGTAAACCCTCCTCTTATTGGAGGCCATTTTCTTCTTTCTTTCTATTTTT